CCGAGACTGCAATAACTCACCTGTTAATTTTTTTTTTCTGCGTTTTGTCCAATGTACAACAATAAATGCTTTTTATACATTGTTAAAACAAGGTATTATTAAATTTAATTTAGATTTTGTCCAGAAAAATTTAATTTTGAAAAATCAAAACCCAGTAAAATATCAGTTGGGGTGAAAACAACTAAAATGGAATCTGTGGTCCACAGGCTGTGGATAAGTTTAAAATAAGAAAAAATTGAACCTACACCTCGCCAACTAAGAAAATTGAAAGTTTAAAATAGTTGCGGTTAAATGGCATTTAAATGAAAATATTCGATGACGCACTCCCTTTGAATGACGATTTAAATAAATATTCAAAACCTTGAAAAAATACATAAATATTTTATTTAATTATACAGTGTGTTGCTGAATATTTTGGACTCGCCTGTTATAGCACATGCTACGCTCGTGCGGCTAACTTCACGCTCGAGGAATTTACCACTAGTCGCACGATATACTATTTTCTCCACAAAACTCGCCATCTGGTACTAGGTACTCTTTCCCCATTTATTGTTTAAGAATGCACATATTCTTAATTCTGAAAATATTAAGAAAGAAAAAATATAATTTTAAGGACTTGTTTTTAATTATATATTATTTTTTAACATCGTGGACTTGATAAAAACTAAATTTCGATAAACCAGATCTCTTACATAACTTTTTAGTTTAAAAGAGTTGGTTGGTACTTCTTTTGTTAGCTATGCATTGGTCTCATCGACAAAGGACCATGAGTCATTGTGGTTGAGTTGGTTATTGTGTGCGTACCACTGTTAAAACATAACCTGTCTGGGCGCCACTCCAGAGTGGGTAGTACCATACAAATATTGCGACAATTTGATTAATATTTATTAGAAACAAAAACAAACAAACAGGCTTGCTCCGCGGTGCGGCTATACTCAATTTTGGGTCAAAGGTGTTTGGTTGTTGTTTAAGTTTAAGATACCATTCCAAGGATACATTAGCTGCTTTGTAAGTACTTGGTACCAGAATATTTTAAGGGGTTCTTACTATTAAATATCACAAAATATGAGAATAAATCATTTTAGTTTAGTTTAGTTAGTTAGCATCGTGCTTTATGTCACACTAGACAAATACAAATATTTCAACTTGCATGTAGTAGTGTATTTTAAACTTAAATGCAAAAAATTGTTTTTTTATACTTAAAATACAGCGTATAATGTTAATTAATATTCCTTTTATTTATGATTATTTATTTATTTTAATTTGCTAATACAATGATGTATTGAAATATTTAATCGGTCTATAATTTAAACTTTATTGTTGTTAACATGTTCACTCGTTATTAAAGTAAACATTTATTATTTACTACTTAGGACCATTCAAACGACGTCTGTCATATCTATCTAACCTCACTTTCCTACTTTAACAAATACAATTGTGCCTTAAAGATAAAGTGTTATATTCCATTCTACCTAAAGTGTATTCAAATCCAAGCTGGATTAAACAAAAACGCCCAGGCGCATGATAACTCGTTCTTATTGGTCGATTCTGATGGTGTGACTCGGATTGTGAGTTCTTATTGGTCGATTCGGAGGATTGTGTTTACATTTAGTCCAGCTTGGATTTGAATAGACTTTAGAATCTTTTTTTGTGTTTCACTCGTTTGTAGGCCTGCGCCTCGACCTTTAATCTTTGAGCTTGGCACAAAAAGACTCACTTCTTGTCCCAATAATTTAAGATATTAATATTACTGGCTAAGTGCCAGGCGCTGATACAGGGGAGGGGATGGGTGCAGTTCCCCCCCTGACGACCATGTTTTTATTTCATATTTTTTAAAGACAGGCAAACAGCATTATACAAACATGGATAACAAACTTGAATTTAATGAAATTGTGTGTCAAAAAACAAAGCGGTACTCCATATTTAATCGCTCTTCTTTACTATCAAAAAAATATTTGTTTTTATACTTATACTATCGCATAGTTAATGCGCCATTCTCAGGACACCCTTTATGATATATATCTTATAAAGTTAAAATAAAGAATAATGAATAAACAATTTAAAATAAAAAAATTAAATTTAAAAGGTTTATAAGTATGGTTATAAAAACTATATTCTTATATTAGTATATTAAAGAACTAATGTCATAAGAAGTCATTTTGTCGCACGCGGACAATGAAACGAGCGACGAAGGAGCGAGTTTTGTAATGGACGAGTTCTTTATGCTATTTTATATATTTTGCCCAAATTCTATAAAAAAAATTAATTTTATACCTTTAATTTAATTTAGTCGAATTTTACTTTAGATAGTTGGTATCAGTCATTGGTTTGACAGTTAATGTCAAAATCGATTCGCCATGCCGTCCTTAATTTACTTATTTACAATAAGCGGCTGTTAAGGTTAAAAAAAAAAGGATTTTTCGTTTAGGCCATATTACAGCCGGCAATTCTTTCGGCAATTGCAATGAAAATTGCCATAGACATGCGCGGTTGAGAAATTTCGACGAATCTCTTGCAATTGCCGAAAATCGGTCCGGGGTGAAATTTGGTAACTTTTATTTTACCAACCCTACTACAAATTCCCTAAAGAGACGCTGTTTTTTAAGGTTATTTGTTTTATGATTGGCATTTTGTTCAAAGTTCTAGTATCCATTTTACTCATTAATTTTTAAATATCTCTACTAAATAACAAATAAACTTGGTGTTTTCAAAATTTTATATTTTTCTTCGGTTGGTAGCACGGTAATAAACAACAAGTTGCCTTGCCATTGCTGACTGTAAAACAACATGCAATACGGGCTTGAAAACTTGATTGCAAGAAAAGTTGCTGCAAGAAGAATTGCCGGCTGTAATACGGCCTTTAAATAAAATGTATTGCCAGAAAAGTGTCGTAAGTACTAGAAAAATCATAAAAATATTATAACCAACTTGCAAAATATTATGCTGTTAAAAGTATAGCCAACCTATAAAATCAAAATTTTGGGTGGGATAAAGTATCTCATTACAGCACCGAAAGCGGTGTTATAATGAATTCATCACAATTATACCAGAATTTTTTTAAATTTATTAAAACCGTTTTTTTCTGCAAGGTGCGAAAAAAATGTGTTTTAAATAATCATTTTAAACAAAAAGTAATAAACTAAACTAACTAAAAATAATCACGGGAACTATGAATTTATTCGGTTAAACTAGGCTCAGTAGTTTGTTTTGTTTTTTGAATGCAAAATAATTTAATAAAATCACGAGATCGCGTAGCGGTCGAGGGATTTTATTTTTAATTATTTTGCATGAAACTATTTTCCAAAGAGAAAAATTAAATAAAAAACTTACTACAGTTCATTTTTTATCTGGATTCGTGTTTTTTTGTTAGGTTGGTGGCTTATGCCAGTTTGACTTGGTATTTTTAGTATTTAAAAATGTTACTTCTGCTAAAGAATTTAATTAATTATTTTGACACTGTCAAATTGACAATAATATTTATTATTGATAATTTACTTGTCAATTATAAATAAAAAGATAATTATGCCAAAAATAATAGCAACGAATTCGAATGTAAAAGCCCTTTTGAGGGCAAAACTTCATTATGCCAAATGCCACAATGGAAGAAAAAGTACATCGCCTTAAGGACATTTTTAAGTAAAAAAGTAACGAATTTGGTTTTATAAATATTACATCACACATCAGGGTATACATTATAATTCTTATTGGACAACATTTACGTTCACAAAAAAATTTAATTTCTTTTATATAAATTCTTTTCAAAGAGAAGATTATTATCCGCTAGGAATACTTTCTCTTCTGGGCCGTAAAGCAACCTATATTTAACTACTTTTTTATATGATTTTACTCATCCAAGCACCACCAAAGCCAAATTAATTGCATTTTTAACTACGAATTTCGACAACTCAACTTGACAACTGCACAATGTAACCTACAATAATTTATACATAACCACAATTAGATTTATAACTAGCTTAGTTTGTTTTAATCAATGCGACCAACTGTATTTACCAACCAAAACCCTAAATTTGCAACGTTGCCGCAGTCCAGATAAAAAAAAAGAACTTTAAGCATAGTTTGACAGAATAAATTTATAGGTTGTTATACGTCTAGATTATTTCTTGAATTAAAGGCCTAGGATTAAAGGACAATTTATAAAATCTGATGTATATGTCAAAATTTATGAACAATTATTTAAACAAAATTCTATTAATTTAAAAGTATGTAATGATTAATTATTGATATTTCGTAAACTAGATAACTTAGTTTTAATTGTTTTAAAAAAATATATGTTAAACTTAAACAAATTTATTCGAAAATTCAGGGCTTTTGATTGGTTCATTTTATAATGAGGGAAATAATCATAAATAATATAAAAATGCTCCTTTTATTAAAATGTGTGTATTTATAAATTTTCCAAAAAAAAAATCAAAAACGCTTCTTAATATAATAGCTTAATATATATCTTATTTCTATTTGTTAACCAGTTTGAGGTTAAATATATTTAATGTCCCCTTAAATTAGAAACTAGTTTGGGGAACAGGCAATTTGTCGATTTACATTTACAAAAGTGAAACCAAGTAAGATTAATTGTGCAAATCGGTAAGGCCACAGTAATCGACATCTGTTTTTAATTACGTTTTGCAATATATCGTGGTGAAATGCGAATTAAGACATCCAAAGTCGGAATTTTTTATTATTTATTTTTGTAACGGAAATAACATCCAATTGACTCACGTTAATCCGCTGAAATTTATTGCAGGATTATTTGTCACCGAAAAGAATAGCATCGCATTAAATATTTAAATTCGATAGGTTGGGTATCTTAGTCAGTAACAGGCTTAATGAGCTGACAATTTATGCTCGATATTCTAAAATATTGCTTCCTCCTTGACTTAAACTTTTTTTATAATAACTATAATTTCGACGGTCTTCCGCCATACCAACCCAATTATTTTAACTTTTGTCAGCGAAATTAATGTGTTTTTTGCTTGTTTCAGTGAATGCTGCTTCAGGTGGTGTTCTGTAGCAAGTCCCATCCCGTCAGCTCAAGGGAAATGTCCACGATTATCCATAGTCCGTCCGTCGGGATAAGCTGATCTCAAATCTCAAAGGCCATAATGGCCGCAGACATGAGGTAAAGTCTTTGTTTTAATTAATGGTGAATATAATGTTAGTAGTCCATCTGTAAAAGTTTTCGAAAAAAAATGAGTATTAATTTTTTGCATGAATTGTTTTGGGCTTATAAGAAAAAGTTAACACCGCTTTGCGGGATACCAGGTAAAAACTATTTTTTTTGTTTAATTTATCTCGAAAACGGTGGATTTAAGAAGTAATTTTTATTCGTTGGTCTAGGACGAAATATTCAAAAAGTAGGTGGTGTCACCCAAATTTTTTTTAAACCTACACTAATTGAAACTTTTAGTACAAAATTGATATTAACTTTTGTTTTCCACAATATACCATTTTTGACTTATGCGCTATAACTTATAGCGCATACCACAATCCACACAACAAGGTCTGTTCAATCTCTTACTAAAAATACTAAAAATCACTGCAACACTGCACATCATTCAAAGTAGGCCATTTTTGTTGTTTACAATTCTTGTGCTTTGGGTTTGTACAGATTAATAATCGTTTTACACGTTGTTTCTTACAGAGAAACTTGCAAGCCTTAAAAGAGACCTCAAAGTGGTAAGAACAATCATTTTACTCCTCTTTTGTAAAAAATAAACTTTATTCTATCAAGGCTGTCAAATGTCAATTTTAAGGTTATTTTATAACCCACAAATTAACCTTCAAGGTTTATTTTTTAGAAAAGAGGAGTAAAATTATTGTTCTTACCACTTTGAGGTCTCTTTTAAGGCTTGCAAGTATCCCTGTAATAAACACAACGTTTAAAACGATTATTAATCTGTACAAACCAAAAGCACAAGAATTGTAAACAACAAAAATGGCCGCCATTGAATGGTGCAGTGTTGCAGTGATTTTTAGTATTTTTAACACAAGATCGAACAGACATTGTTGTGTGGATTGTGGCGCATACTAAGTATTTTGTTTTATCTTAAGCTTAAGTCTTAAGCTTATGATTGAACAAAATCCTAGTACAGTGAAATTTCGCTGGATATAAGGCCATGGTCAATTTTTTCAAAAATTCAAAAAAAAAATTGTTTAAAAAACATTTTTATATATCACGGTTACGCAAAACACCTACTAGTAACATCACAAAAAAATCTTAAATCTTAAAAATTACATTCCATGGCCATGCCAAACTTACCTGAGTTTGCTCTGCGATTTTCCTGAAATTGGGATATGTTTTTGTACGTATTTAAATAAACTTCCCTGATGGTTTTTAAGATGGCGAATTTTCAAAATTTTGACGATATTTGTATCAATCTTCCATAATTTTTTACAAAATTGATCGATTTGGACTTTTTGTGTTTTAATGTAGGTAGTTAAAAAAATAAAACATTTTTTTGCTTGTCTTTTCATGATGTTTTGTTTAACTTTCTATTAAAGTCCCATTTTTAATGATTAAATAAATCCAAAAAAAAATTAGAAAAGTATCTTTTAATACATACAAAACATATTCCATTTTCCAAATTTTTTAAAATCTGTAGCGATTTATATTTTTTTAATTGTGCTGTTATTTCACAAACTTGTAAAACGTCAATTCGTAATTACGAACCCATAGTTGCCAGATTGTTTTAAATCTGGAGATAACGATTATAATTATTTAATATATAGTTCAATTTTATTTGTTTAAAAACATTAAAAATAACTATAAATTTATAATATCTCAAAAATAACTTACTTTTTTTATTAAAAAGTAAGAAAAAACCTTTAAGGAAACAAAAAAGCACATGGCAACCGCGCGGTATGCACAGCGAGAGAATGGCATGCAGCATAAACAGCATAAGGTGTATGTATCTTGGGCATGCAGTTTAATCTTTGCACAGTAACTCCGACGTTGTCGTAGGAAAATGTTTATAGTTTTTAAGAAATAATTTTTTCCTCATGTGGAACTTAATGGATTTTAAACAATACTTTTTGTGGAAATGCATTAAAACAAAAATAAAGATATCGTTAAAAATAAAAACTATAAATTCTCCAATAAAAATAATTAATAAATACCAAAAAAAAATTTTCTTCTTTTAAATTTAATGCCCATCATAAAATTGCGCACGTTAAACAGCATTTCAGGACTAATAGCTCCCAATATATTAAAAATTTGATTCTCATCACGATTCAAATGCAATGAATATAGTTATAGGTATAAAGCTTCGTACAGACCTGAACATTGAGCCGAACAACAAGCAGAACAACGAACCGAACAGCAAACAGAACGGCAAATGGCCTTTTTTGATTTCGACGATCCGAACAACAAACGGAACGTTCGTGCTGTTCCCATAAATGCTCGTAGTAAATCTCAGTTAAAGTTTTACTAAAGATGGAAAAAAGTGTAGCAGCAGCAGCTTATATATATATTCATTCATTATTAAATCAAAAGAAAAAATCGCGAAAAACAAGAAGATGGTGGCAAACCCATTTTTATACACAAAGAAGTACGACAAATTTCAATTTAGTAAGTGAATTAAAGTTTCAAGCTGTGAGTGGGCATTACAAAAATTTTACGAGGATGGCACCTACCGACTTTGAGTATTTATTAAACAAAATAGTCCCGAAAATTGAAAAACATAACACTGTCCTAAGAAAAGCAATATCAAGTCAAGATATATTAGCAGTAACCCTTAAATAAACAAAGTCACTTAAAGGAGGAGACAAATAAACACTTAAATGAGAACAATTCACTGGTCTGTTCGCCGTTTTGTTTTTACCCGTCCAAACCTCCGAACGCATTCGCGAGCATTTCCTTTGATGTCGAAGGAAAAACCGACAAGTGATGGGAACGGGGCGAACCGTTCGCCGAACGGTCAGGATTCGCGAACATGTTCGCAAACGCGTTCGCAGCCCCGTCCAAATTAGTGTTCTGTTTGCCGTTCGGTTCGTTGTTCGGCTTGTTGTTCGGCTCAATGCTCAAGTCTGTACGAGGCTTAACATTAAAATAATTAATTACTTAACATTTCAATAAAATTAGTATTTTATTTATTTAGAAAACTACAGTTAGTTAGAACTATAAAACCAGGGTTCATGATTTGCATATTTTAATTTGCAATAGCTGCAAAATTTTAAAAATAACTTTTTTCTTCTTAGTTAAAATAAAAACCTATGTTTTCTTAATTTTTTTAACGAGAGCTAGAAGAGTACCTAGAAAAATACCTAATTAAACTAAAACATTATTATTTTAATAGTAAGTTTTTTTAAATATGTTAAGCTATTCTTAAGTCGGTTAAAAATTTTTAATTTGCACATAGAAGTTATTGCTAAACCATCGACGATATTTTAATTTGATTGTTTTGTTTTTTTAATAAAATTTAATTAATTAATTTAATTAGAAAAAAAAATAATTTGGAGTTTTAATAAAATTTAGTTTGAAAATATTAATGTGTGTGTGAGAGAAAGAGAGAGAATCGTTAAACCATTTTTTCTCCTCCAATTGTATAGTATTGTTAATGACCATAAACAATTCACAAATTATACACTAATCGCAGACTTATGTGATTCCAAAAAATAACAGAAGTAAAATCTTGTTTAGTAATATTGCTTTAACTTTGGAATTCTTGATTTAAAATTCGATTTGTGTTAGGTCTCCAAACGTATCAGTGACACCCATAAATATGGAGCCGTACCCGCCGCCCAGTCTTTCCAACGGCAACGTGAGCGTGACGACGCCCATGACGGATATGCCGCGCTCTAGATCGACGCCTTTAAACGCGACCAGCATCGTCACAAACGGCGGCGGCGGCTGCTTACCCACGGAGCTTCTCGACTCGAGCTCGGTGGACGCCGAAGTCGCTCGCATCCAATTCCATAGCGAACTAGACCAGGTAAATACCATTCCTTACTCAATGTAAATACTATGGAATTGTATTAAGTTGTTTATTTACCAACAATTAAAGGGACAAGTGGATGAAGGGGTTATAAGGAACATTTTTAATTATAATTAAAAATATTACTTCTATACGCAGAACATATTGTGATAATAAGTAAAAATTAAAAATAAATAAATTTGGTATTTGGTACAAAATTTTTTTGTCCCACGCTTATGTGGAATTTATTTTTATTTATTTAAGCTATTGCTATACTAGTGGAAAAATAAAAAAACAGACAATTTTAAACAGTAAATACTGCTATTTTTTACATACAGATGATAGGTACATATAGAGGGTGATTCACCTAACTTATTCATTAGAAGTTTATGAAAAACGGAAAAAGATATCGATGTAAAATTTGTATTGCAATTATAAGTCAATGTAAACTATTTTTTTAAATTATTTTCAATGCGTTATCACTAGTGCACTTCTGGTTAAATGGAACCATGTAAATATTATTGCATTTTTAAATTCTACGTTAAATTCTAGAAATACTGAAATTTTATTATTTTTTTATCTTGAATAGTTTTTGAGATATTTAATTTTTTTCAAAAAAATTTGATAGATGAATAGTCTTACTAATATGTCTGTATTATCACCAATTGTAATGTTAAAAAGTTAATTTTTGTACCTGAGGAGCACTCTATCTAAAGCCATTAATAGTATTTAAAAATTTTATACAGGGTGTCTGGTATTTACTTTGACTTTTTTGTCACAGACACCCTGTATAAAATTTTCAAATACTATTAATGGATTTTGATAAAGTGCTTCTTAGTTAACAGTGTACCCTAGTTAACACGTACACCATAAATAAACTTTTCAACATTACATCCATCTGGCAAAATTTTTGAAAAAAATTAAATATATCAAAAACTGTTAAAAATAAAAAAATAATCAAATTTTAGTGTTTCTAGAATTTTACGTGGAAAACAAAGTTGTGGGTTGTAAAAAAATTGACATTTGACAGCCCTGATAGAATAAGGTTTATTTTGTACAAAAGAGGAGTAAAATGATTGTTCTTACCACTTTGAGGTCTCTTTTAAGGATAACTATGAGAAACACAACGTTTAAAACGATTATTAATCTGTACAAACCCAAAGCACAAAAATTGTAGTGCAGTGATTTTTAGTATTTTTACTACGAAATCAAACAGACCTTGTTGTGTGGATTGTGGGGTCGTCGATTGATTAGTAAAGTCCCCATTTCATGTTGACGCTGCAAGCTACTTTTTTAGCGCCAAAACAATCACGTGATCCATTTTTGACAAAATTTAGCATCATTAGTAGCTTTGACTAGGAAGAATATAATCTTCTTAGCTTTGACGCTCAAATCGAGCGCCAACAGTCGGCGACTGTCAGTCTAACATACATAATTACGTTATAAAACAAACAAAACCAAGCTTATGATTTACCGCGAATGCAAAGAATTTTAAATTTGAATGAATTTTACATTAATTAATAAACTGTTATTGTAATTATGTAAAGTACCTAAGTATCATAAAATAAATATTAATATTAATTAATATTGTGTCTAGCAATACATAGTCAGTAATCTTACAAAATACATTATTTTAAGAAATCATTTATTAAATTAGAAATATTTATAACTTATGAATTAAGGCACTATGTGTTTATTACCGTAATAAAGTTTTAATATTGTATTCATTTTTTACCAATTATATTAAATAATAGTTTTTTTCTACTCCCACCTTTAAAATGCTCATTATCGTACATGTTTCCATGACATTAAGTGACCTTTTAAATACACATTGACAAGTTGTTGCTTTATAGCGTTATCGTCACGGGCTAAAGTTAGAAACAGGTTTTTAGTCACGGGCTGAAGTTATTTTTAAGTTGGTTGACACTAGTCAATGTTATACAAATAAAGTCATGTTATACAAATAAAGTCATGTCAAACAAATAAAGTGCCCTTCTTGTAAAATAATACTAAATGTGAAATTTTTTTTATTATCTCAATCTCAGCACCAATATTTGAAAAGTTTATATGAAATTGTACTGACCTTTTAATTTCACTGGCAGTAAACTAGATTTAAATTTCGGGTGGAGACTCCACCGTGGAGTGCCCATAAAACATTGTCTTTACTTTCACTATAAAAAACAGCTTCTACATTGAATTTAAACGATTCATTTTCAAGGGATTCATTTCGATTTACACATAAAAATTTGACATTTCCAAGAATGGTTACTCTATTGTTTTATAGTCGCTGTATACAAATATTTAATTCAAATATTTTTTAGATAATAGTAAAAAGGATTTGTCGTAGAAAAAGTATAGTATGCAACTCGTGTATAAACTTTTCTATACACTCATTTAGTTAAGCATTCGCTCGCAAGCTCGCTCCAGTCTGAATTAAATTGGTGTCTAAAATGGCGTTTATCAAATAAATACCCTAATTTTATCATAATTGTATGACTGTCATATATATACCATTGCGTCAAAGCTAAAAAAGCTAAATTTGTTTTAGCTTTTTATTTTGACGCTAAAAAATTAGCGTCAAGCGTCAACATAAAATTGCACCTTAAATCGACCGTAAATTTACTGTTTATTTACCGCAACTTTACCGTGACCACGAAAACACTGGGGTAGGAATATTTTACATTGTCAAATAAAAATAAAACATTTTTATTACTGATGAGGTCCAAAAGACCGAAACAGTTTGTCATGCCCGTATGCACCGTTTTAAAGCCTAAGCCTAAGATTAACATAATCGCGATTTGCTAACTAAATCGCGATTATGTTAATCTTTCTTCATGATAATGCACCGTACGCGGGTTGTGCAATCTGGATTGGCGATTTGGCAACGCGGTTTTATTTGTCAAAAAACTACAAAAAAACTGTAAATCGTAAATTGAAATCGATTGACAACCATAGAGGAACAAACTATGTTGAAAACTAACATTTAAATTTTATTATATGCCTAATATACAATAATTTTTATATAGAGAAATTTTTTGGGTCATCCTTTGTCTGTCTATAAAATGGAAGACCAGAATTCCTAACTTTTCACCAGCGGAAAACAAAAAAACTAACAGAACTGGGCTTCAATATTCAATTTCATTAAGAAAGTTTAGAACGGTAAGTTTATAGTCAATCGAAATCGGCGAAAAAACGAAAAATTGTCCATGGTGTCAAAATATTCGCTCCTTTCATAATTTCGTCGCGGAAATACAAAATTAATTATGTCCAGAATATCTTGATCATCTTCTACAAATAGTTCTTTTAAATCCATGATTTAATTATACTAGTTCTTGAAATCCACTACAACGAAAGCCCAACCCTAACCAAACTAATTAATTTGGTTAGAAAATCAGTTAATCCTACCTCGCCGGTGGATCTCGTAATCGAACACTTAAACTACATTTTTCGCGCAGTGCATGACATACTTTCAAACTAAGCGAGATTAAACTCTTAATCGAGCTTAAGTCCATACGCCGTATGGACTTAAGCTCGATCATACGGTGCATACGGGCATCAGTTGGTGTCTGATGCGGAAGACATCTGAAATAAAGCCAGGGGCGGATGGGCTCCAGCGGGACGCCGGGACAGATCCCGGTGGGCCGCTATGTCAGATTGGCCGAATGGACATCTAGACTGGCCCAAAAAATTATATAAACACCTAACGCGTTAACGACTTTTTACCCCTTATAATTTCACATAAATCTTTGTAATTTATATTGGTTTTTTTATTTAATTTTTTTAATAAATACATATTTTAAAAATGTAACGGGTATTTGTTTTTTGTCACATAAGAATGCCTATAGTCTATTCATTTTAAAAAATCACTTTATTAAACATTTTTATAAAAAATATGTATTTTTAGGTTATTTTTCAGTATCTTAAGTTAAATTTCTAATTTAAAACCCTCCTGAACACGCAAAACATTTATACTAGTTTGTGTTTCATAAGATCATAAAAGGGTCAAAAATGAATTAATAGTGGGTAGATTTTTTTTGTAATTTTACAAACGAGTTACGCGGTTACTCGGAGTATCATCCAGAAAATGCGTTCTAAACAAAAATTTTGTAAAATTTTAGTTTTTAATCCATGTAATTCTTGGATTTGCATAATGCTGTGTTTGTCTGTCTTAAAAAAAATTAAAATAAAAACAGGGGGGGCAATTGCATCCATTGGTCCCCCCTGTATCCGCGCTTGCTAAGACTATTAGATTTTACTTGTTCCATTCATGTGGCGGCACCCGAGCCGTGAGCAGGATTTCCTCCTAGGGGGCTATCAAATTTAGGGCCCTCCATGAATCTCGTAAAGCTGGAGGGGGAAGGCCTTTTTAAAACGTCAGGTGACAAAATAAATCGAATAAATTTGCTTATTCATTTTATTTTTTGTCAGATAGAATATAAAAAAAGAGTCGGAAATTATAAGTTAGGGGGTAGCGGGTTCAATAATTCGATAATCTTCACATCGTCACAAGAAAGGGAAAGGTGGTCAATTTTGACCATATTTAGCTTCACGAGACTTATGCAATTCAAAAAAATATAGGTATATTTTTAAATAGTTTTTCATTATTTTAAGTGGAAATTTAAGTTTAAAATCCTCCTAAGGGGGTTTGAACACCCAAAACCTCCCGTGGCGGTACCTGTAACAATGTGTTTTCCGTCACAAATATTACGTTTTTTCTCGCGCACCCCGTGCAACAAAATCCCAAATATTTACGAACTTGTGTTTGACCCCAGAGATTTTTTTTTCAAATTCTGTAATAATTATGTGTCACCATGTTAAAAAAATAATTACCGGATTAAGAACATTAGTTCCGTAGTAGTTTCTGCATAATAAATTTTAGAAAAAAAAATAATTTTTTTAGTTGCAAAATCAATAGCAGAAATATTTAATTTTGGAAAACCACTCCGCGTGAAAAATTAAGGTACCACTTAAGCACTCTATAGGCAAATACTTAAGGATTTGGCGGAAGGGGTTGTAAAAAAAACAAGGTGGGCCGGTTTTACAAAAATCGTCCCGGGCCGCTTGAAACATGCCCATCCGCCCCTGAACAAAGCACAGTGACGATGTAAAAGCCAATTCTTACTATAAACTCAATTTGTTTTTTTGTAGGTTAACATGCGAAGTAAAAAGAACAAACGCAGCGAGGTCGAGATGGTACCCAGGCCGATGAGCTGGGAGGGCGAGCTGTCCGACGGCGGCAACGACAGGGACATGTGCATCGACGAGGACACCCAAACGCAAATACCCGAAAACCTGTCGCTCTCGCAATCGAAACAATCGTCAACCACCACGATAAGCATCGACAACTCGAAGGAGAGCCCCATAATGCGGTCCAAACAGCCGCCCATGGGCAACTTCGCTCTGCACAGCACCAGCAACTCGCCGCTGCTCGGCCAGAGGCATCCCATGACCGGGGTGCCGATGATGGGCGGCCACAAGGATCTCATGCACAAGGCGCTGAACGTGCCGCCCACCCCGAGTCCCGATTCCGCCGTTCATTCCGCTTACAGCGTGTTCAGTTCGCCGAACCAGAGTCCGCTGACTCAGAGACATGTCACTTTGACGCCGAATTTAAGTCGAAATAACAGCGATGCATCGCATTCCAGCTGCTGCAGCTATTCGAGCGTGTCGGTATCGGTTTCGCCGACGCAGCAGTTTTCTCCCACGCACAGTCCTATACAGGTTAGTATCAGAACCCGACATTCAAAATATTCTAAATTTAAAAATTACTAAAATTTTAAGCATAAAAAAGCTCAAAAACTTGATTGAGGAGTTATACATGTATAGAGTTGGGAAAATTTCACTTTTTGCTTGTACTTGAAATTTCACTTGAAATTTTCATGACATTTATGAAATTTATTAAAATTTCCTAAATTTCCGAAATTTTATGAAATTTATTGAAACTTTCAATAAATTTCAATCACTTTAAGTGTGATATATAATGCCCGGATTTTAGGTAAAACACCTTTTGTTGGTTTTTTAGGTTTTAAAGATATTTTTTGTATTTGCCCGTTTTATAAAAAATGGAGTCATCTGACTAAGTTTTATTTGACCTAAAATACCTTTTTTATATTTTTTTTTACCTATTTTCCTTTTTTGCACCTAAATTGTATTTTTAATACCTAAAATGAACTTTTTTACCCGTCCTGTGACGTTGAACGATCATTCTCTTGGTTTAAAAATGTTTTGACTGATAAACGCACTAGCTTTACTTCTGAAAACTGAAAAAAAAAAATTTTGTTTTAGAGTTCCTATTTTGTTTTTTTTTGTAATTTTAGAGTTCCTATTATGTTTTTTTGCTATTTTACATTATTTGTGATATGATATATTAACTTTTTTAAAGAATCTTTTATTTTATTTGTTATTTTTCCAACCAAACATTTTTGTTCAGTTAATGTTAATAATAAATATTATTTTAATAATTAACAGAGCAATTATAATGTAACTAAAACTACATAAGACCTATGTATGGTTTTACAACGATATCGACATTATAATGAAAACATTTTATTTTAATAAATCAGCTTATTTTATTTTTTATTTAAGTACCTAAAATGTAGGCACCTAAAATAATAACCTAATTTTATAACTATGTGACCTATTTTTTGCATTTTTTTTATTTTTTTTATAACCTAAAAATACGGGCCAACCAATATTAACTTTTTAATTAAGTACCTAAAATATAGGTACCTAAAATAATAACCTATTTTATTAAAAATATCACCTAATTTGGGAACCTTTTATCACTTTTTTATGACCTAAAAATCCGGGCCTTAGTATTATATTAATATTGAAATAAGCCCACTCGGAGACCATGGCAAATTGCCTCTCTTTCCTCCTACCCCACTGTGGGCCCCTGCACCAATAATATAAATAGTAAATACCTATGTTTACCACAAATTTCTTGAGATTTCCTTTTAAAATATTTTTAAAATTACTAAAACTAAAAGAGATATAGCACTTTTTGGTAAGCTAAAGAGATTGTGCCACTTTCATTGTTTTATATTTATACAGGGTGTCCCAGAACTCGCGCCACATAGAAAACCGGAACGTGCCGAAAGTAACGTGAAACACATATTTGAAAATTAAAATTGTCTAACGCAAAGGATAAGCGAGATAAGAATAAAAAATGATAGCCAATCCCAATAGATGGCCATAGGGAATTCTTTAAATTGCTAGGATACTTAGGTTGCATTGTTGATAATAAAAAATATGTAAAATATTTGGTCCACTGGAATCCAATTCATTGTGACACTGCTGTCAAACTCCTGTCATTAATATTATATTAGGTTATAAATTAAGTTATTATAAATAATGTTTTCCTTAGATGATTATACTGAAATGATAATTATTTATTTATTTAGTGTGGGCGCAACGCCAGGAAGACAACGCGAGTTTTTTCCCAGCCCTTTCCTAATCGTTATTTTAAAACATTGGCGTTCTGAAGTATAAGTCATAGATTAATAACCTCATTTTTGAAAGCTTTTGACAACTTAGTAAATACAGTTGGCCAAAAGATTTTTAAATGTTTTTAATACAACAATGTGCTATCGTCTCCTAGCAATTTTTAAAGCTCTTACGTTTAACCTAGGCGAGAGCTCTCGGTATTGGCTGCCGCTTTTTTGCTCTCATTCGATTACACTATTACCTAGAAATTTTTTATTTTTAAATTTGGCATCTCCATTGCTATCGACACGCCCCCTTTTTCTCTGTGGCGCGAGTTCTGGGACACCCTGTATATATTTATTATTTTTAAATATTTTACTGAAATTTTACGAAAATTGAAGAAACTTCATCAAAATTTTATAAGCCAAAGGCATTTTTTATCCGTTTTCCGTTGCAATTATAGCAAAAGTAAACAAATTTTAAAGTCTGATTTAATTTACAAATTAAATTGGTAACTGAATTAAATTATTTAAATTAATTTATGCATATAAGTAACAATAATTACTTATAGTGTATTCAAATCCCAGCCGAACTAAACAAAAACGCTTGATAACTCGTTCTTATTGGTCGATTCGGAATCTGTTGTAAATTATTATTAAAGGTCCCAGGGGAGGCCGCATGTGAAATTTATGCGAAATTTTCAGTAAATTTCGAAACTTTCAATGAAATTTCTGAAACTTTCACAGGCAATGTTGAAATTTTCGGATTGAAAATTTCATTTGAAATTTTTAAAAATTTCACTTTTCCAAAAAAAACTTAAAAACTTTCAAAGTTGAAATTTTCATTTAAAAATTTCAACTGTCCCAACCCTATACATGTACGATATTAGTTGGCCCAGTGAATTCAATGGTATCAGTTAGTCCAGGTTTTTCCCAGTTTTTTCGTGTTTTGGCCGACGGAGTTGATTGTTTTGTGTAAAAGTAATGGTATAATGAGATACATTTTTTCTTAATCTAAGGATAGATTTTTAAATTGCAAAACTCATAATTAAATCGTTTTTAACTTAACTTTTAATTATTTTTCTGTATTCTTTTAGTTGTGGGAAAAAACGTTTGTACCGTTTTCTTACGTGACTGAGTTTCTTTTATAATATATTATGTGAATCAAAAAAATACCTCAAATCAATCCAAAAGTAGCAATTGTGTTTCATCATTTTTTTAAATTTAATGATTGTGTTTTATAATAAACATTTAACATTATAATATTATTTATCTACTCCTACATTGATAAGCTGTGATTTTATGGCGTTTTAGTCACGGGTTGAAGTTGGCTTTATTATTAATTAGAAAAAAGTGAGGTTAAATCCGTTAAAAGTTGATAGATTTCAAATGTTTTACAAATAAAATTGGCTTTAAATTCTTATTTGTGTTGGTCCTAGATAAAGTATAGTATGCAACTCGTTTTATAAACTTCTCTAGACACTCGTTTTTATTAAACACTCGCTCGCAAGCTTCAATCGTGTCTAATAAAACTCGTAAATAAAATGGCGTTTATAAAACTTGATACATAATATAATATTATGTCTTAAAAATATTTCATATTGCTACTTACTAAAACGTATGTATTGTTAACAAAATTGAATTAATTAATTAAACATTTAACGAAGATAATTTAAAAAAAAAAAAAATATGAAATCGTTTTTTCCGCCTTAAGGTCAAGTTAGTCTATAAAGCTGAAAAAAAGTTAGAACCTCCTAATACTTGGAAACAGCTGCATATTTGATTAAAGTATATTAAATGTAATAAAGGCACCTATGGAACGCCGTTGTATTTTTTAATCAGGAATTTTTGTTGCAACTCCAACTGCTAGTCATATTTTTAATTGTATCGATTATTTTAAACAATATTTATAACTCAACTAATTTTATACTCAAAAATAATGTGGAATTAAAAATATCAAAGTGTCACTAAAATTAAAGTCAATTTTTAATTCAAAGTGATATTTGTAATTCACAGGAATTATCAATATCAAAGTGACCAGAAAATTCAAGTTAATTTTTAATTCAAACTGATATTCATAATTCGCATGAATTATAAATATCAACTTGAATTTTTAATTCAACTTATTTTCAACTAAAAAATGATGTAGAATTAAAATATTAAAGGGAAACTAAGAATTATTTGATATTTTTAAATGAAAGACATATTTTTAATTCCCACAGTTTGGACACCCCTGGTAATGTTAACGGTTCAATTTATCTACTAAAGTAGGTATATTTGCTTTAATCTCAGTTAAATTATTTTGCGGCACTGTTTGTTTATATAATACCGTTTTTATTAATAATAGGCATAATAATTAATATTAATTAAATTACCTAATATTTTAAATATTTACACAGGTATTCTCATAAATCGTTAAGTAGGTCAACTGAGTCAGTTGAACTACTACAAATTTGACAGTGCGAGAATTTTCCGCCGGGAAACCTAACCTTCTTTATCTCCCTAGATAAATCTATCTAGGTTTATCTCTGCCGGGAACGAAGCTAAAATTGTTGGTATATTTACTACATAGGTAAGTATTAATAAAAACGTTATTATATAAACAAAAATAGTGCCGCAAAATAATTGAACTGAGATTAAGGCAAATATACCTACTGTAGTAGATAAATTGAACCGTCAACATTACCAGGGGTGTCCAAACTGTGGGAATTAAAAATATGTCTTTCATTTAAAAATATCAAATAATTCTTAGTTTCCCTTTAATATTTTAATTCTACATCATTTTTTAGTTGAAAATAAGTTGAATTAAAAATTCAAGTTAATATTTATAATTCATGCGAATTATGAATATCAGTTTGAATTAAAAATTAACTTGAATTTTCTGGTCACTTTGATATCGATAATTCCTGTGAATTACAAATATCACTTTGAATTAAAAATTGACTTTAATTTTAGGGTCACTTTGATATTTTTAATTCGACATTATTTTTGAGTTTAAAATTAGTTGAATTATAAATATTGTTTAAAACAGTTGACACAATTAGTTGTAATTACAAATATGACTATTAGTTGAAGTTACAACAAAAATTCCTGATTAAAAAATATTTTGGCGTTAACGGAACGCCAAAGTACTTTTTAATACCTATAATTTTAGATATCTGAAATTAATTTCAGATATCTGAAATTCAAAAGTGATATTAGAAATTCCTTATTAAAAAATACAACGGCGTTCCATAGGCACCTGCTGGCACATAAAAATTTATAATGTTTAAATAATAATATTTATCTACTCCTATTGCATAATTTGGTTTTTTTTGCGTATATGATAAACATTATAAATTCCCTGCTTAACAATGAGAATAATAAACTCATTATTCACGTTGTTAAGCGTCAGTAATTGGCCCATTTCAATATTCACTGTGATTTTAATCAAGCGGGTTTTAAATTGGGAGAAGGGGACTATAATATAATAAGTATTATATTTGTAATGGTATACTAGATTAGGGTTTTAAAATTTCCGGGAAAATTGAGCCGGCGGAAAAAAACCGTATTTTTTCGAAAAAAAACGGAAAAATTGGGAAATTTTCAGAAAAATTGACTTTTTAATTTCCTAAATTTTATTAAAAGGTTAATACGAAAAAATGCAAATTGATAATTTCCAAATTTTTACTGATAGTATCCGTACACTGATATCGAGAAAAAAGTGAATTTCCGACGCTGATTATAATCATATAATATTATGATTATAATAATTATTCCTTTTATTTTAATTCAGTAAGAATATTATACCGGGCCGCAAAAAAAACATATTTGCTGCTATTATAGCAAGTGTTAAATAAAAGTTTGTTAATATAATATTAACATAACTTTTATTTAACACTTCGATTTATAAAATTATAATTTTGTAATTTAACTTTATAAATCATTCATTATTTTGTAGTTAAATATTTTTAATGGACTCCTTTTTGCAACAAAAAACCCAAGTTTAATTTTTTTTTGTAATAATATGGTTTTTTTTATTTAAAATAATGTTAAGTTGTTCATTGCTACTTTTTTTAAATGTGTATAGGTATTTTCCAAAAAAATAATTAATTTTTCCCAAAAAAGACAATTTTTCCTGGGAAAAAAAATTTTCCCCAATTTTCCGGTTTTTAACACTTTTTTTGACACTTTAAAACCCTAACTGACATACATTTTTTTTAATCTAAGGATAGATTTTTAAATTGCAAAAGTAAGAAAAAACCTCGTTTGAATTTTTTTTTTAATTATGAGGTTTTTGCCCACTTTTAGGATTTGTTCTAATTTTTTAATTAAAAATGGTCGATGCTCAGGTTAAAAATTAATTAAAAAATCTTCAGGATAGTAAAAAAACTCGAAAGTGTAAATATTTACCTTATGTTTAAAAAATATTAAAATATTATCCGTTTTTATGTTTATTTTCAATAATTTTTTTATAAAAATAAATTATTTAAAATAATAATAACAAACATAACAGAGTAATGAAATTATAAAGTGTAAATATTTACCTTTTGTTTAAAAATTATCAAAATATCCGTTTTTATGTTTATTTTCAATAATTTTTTTATATAAATAAATTATTTAAAATAATAATAAAAAACATAACAGATCAATAAAAAGGAAGTTGTATAGTTTACTAATTAATATTAAATTAACATGTTTTATGCATAATGGCGCAATTTAAGTAACTAACCCCTTAAATGTTCTTTAAAAATATGCTTGTTAATGTAATACTAAATTCGAATGTGCTTTCTCAAATATAACACGATTTACATTTTATGACATGTATAATTTATGAATTCAACTTCATTTGATTACAATGAAATGCCCGAGAATTATAATTTTAAATTGATTATTGAAAGGGTTTTAACATGATGCATGCGTCTTATGCATTTATTAAATTTTATGAATACATTGTTTGGGCAAAAAGAGAGAGTATCTACCAGGTGCACCCTTTTTGTGAAGAAACTTATTTGTAACAATTAATACGTCAAAGAAATCCAGAGGGCGTATTAACGTTTTTATAATTGCAATACTTACTGCATGTTTTGCTTATATAGAAAGGCCGCAAATACTGCCTGTTGCGAATTTCATTTCGGTTGTCAAGGATTGTTGAGTAATTTATAAATAAAGCAGCTTTTTTACTTTTTATCTATTAATAATGTAATTAAATAATATTGCTGCAATTAATCAACGTGTACTGCACTGCACACTTCACTGGTTTCTATAACTGTATCATTCAGGAAACAATTAATTTCAACAAAATACCACATAAATAGCCATAGTAAAGGAAAGACATGGCTATGTGTTTATTTTGAACATTGTAACATTATTTATAATTATATGTAACGCGCTCTGAGAAAACGAACCCAAGGTCCAAAAATTAAATTTTACAGAATTTCGTGCAGCATAGGCGTTTGTGTAGTATCGCTTGACTTCGTAACATTGCCAATTTTTGAAATATACATTAGTTTTAATGAAACTTTTTTTGCTTGGTTTTAATATTAACTAAACTTAATTAACTAAATAGGGATGTAATAAAGTGCTTTTTTTAAAAAAACGAAGCTAAGAAGATAAAAAAAAATGCTAGAAATAAAAAGTTGTATTTTGAGTTGGAAAAAAATATAAAAATTGCAAAAAAAGTCAGTGGCGTACTTTTTTGTGTAAAGGGTTTAGGTGCCGTCCTGGACGCCACTGGACTTAATAATTTTAATCTAGTTAGGGCTAAATTAGCTTCTTACTACCATAAATAACATTGCCTAATTTCAACAACATTGGCTAAAGGATTAATAAGATTTTTACAAAAAAAACTATATATTTTTACATATAAACTTTTCGTCTTAGTATCATTCAAATCCTTAAATTTAAAACTTAAGTTTGAAACTTGTTTTAAAAACTTAAGTACTTAAATAAAACACGGTATATGTTAAATGCGTTATTAGAAGTGAAGTTCGTTTTACTCGAGCAAAAAGATCTATATGTTACAATTTCTCGTTTGTTATTTTTTTAATTGGCTCTTATCAACTGCTGAAAAATCACAATCAATATAAAATGCAATGTTTAAAAACCTAATTTAGACCAGTTTAATGTCACATTTTATTTTTGGTTAAATCTGGGTTTGATGATATTTTAACGGTTACAGGGTACCGTCAGAACATTCCACTCGAATTATTAAATTTTACTGGCGAGTCAATTAACGTGCTAGCATTAAAATAGTTATTACAAGAATTACAAAATTGAATGTAAATATAAAAAATAAGTGGCGTTTTATTATAAACATTTGCCATATTTTATCATACCATAATTGTTATTGTTATTAAAAACCATGATAAAAACCAATAGCCCGCGATACCCAAAATATGTCAATAAGTGAAGAATCTTTTTATTGTCTATTATTTAGAGAATTGTTGTTTCTATTAAATTGCAATTGATTTTTGTATTTACATTTAGTTAGCTAGTCAATTTTTCTTAATTTTTACTTGGGTGTAAAAATAAATGCATTAATGTAAAATACCACTTTGTTTCTTTTTACAAAAAGGAAAATCATTTCAATAATTAAATACTTTTAATTGTAATCGGTAATACATTTACCCATCACTTATAGTGTTGTGTTGTACCATTATAACAACAAAATACAAATTTCTAAACCAAATGTTATCTTTTTTTAGAGTCGCCATATGCACAATATTCACAGCAGCCCCCTACATCACAACATTCTGTATCGCAGTCTGCAAGAGGACCCGACCCTCCAATACGGCACCGAACACGATCCTCTCGACGATAACGAAGATAAGACTGGATTAATACACGCTTCTTTGCCCGCTCAGCCGGGCATATCGCGACAGCAGCTCATCAACAGTCCTTGTCCCATTTGCGGCGACAAAATTTCTGGATTTCACTACGGCATTTTCAGCTGCGAATCGTGTAAAGGATTTTTCAAAAGGACCGTTCAAAATAGAAAGAACTATGTTTGTTTGAGAGGGGCTCAGTGTCCCGTTACTGTTGCCACGAGAAAAAAATGTCCCGCTTGTAGGTTCGAAAAGTGTTTGCAATGCGGAATGAAATTAGAAGGTTAGTTTAAATATTTATTTTTCGTAAAAAATGCACCATTCTCTTGCATTTATTTTACAAGCAAGTAAGGGTTTTCTCGAAAAAACAACTCTTCACTTCACTATTTGGTGAAACAATATTTGTTATAAACATTTTCAGGAACAGATACAATTTTTATTTTAGGCATAGTTTTAAAATTTTGTAAGTTTCCATGAGAAAAAAATCTATTTCATTCACTGATAAAGGAGAAAAAACTGTGTATGTTGTGTAGGTTTTTTTAATAAATGTTGTTTTTCCCAAAAACACCTCAATTTTTAACCCTTAAACCAGAAATCATAATTAAAAATTAAGAGGTTTAAATAAATTAAGAATATTGATTTTAACATTAAAAATATAAATTTATAGTTTTGCTCATCAGTATTTACCACTGAGCTCAGTAACTGAAAGTGGATTTCGGAATGCGTTTTCAGTACTGATAGTACTGACAGTAAATTACGGAACACAACCAGAATAAGGTTTATTTTTTACAAAAGAGGAGTAAAATGATTGTTCTTACCACTTTGAGGTCTCTTTTAAGGCTTGCAAGTCTCTCTGTAAGAAACACAACGTTTAAAACGATTATTAATCTGTACAAACCCAAAGCACAAGAATTGTAAACAACCAAAATGGCCGCCATTTTATGATGTGCAGTGTTGCAGTGATTTTTAGTATTTTTACAACAAGATCGAACAGACCTTGTTGTGTGGATTGTGGGGAAACCTTTAATTTTAGTAGAAAGTATTAAAGATTTTACGTTTGTATTGTCGAAATGGTAAATTTAAAGATTTAAAAAAATTTAAAAAATAATATATACACTCCCCGGCACAAAATTTCGCCACCCTAAAATTTTGGTCAAGTTTGATGTTTTATAACTTTTTTATTGTTTAAAACGATTATTAATCTGTACAAACCCAAAGCACAAGAATTGTAAACAACCAAAATGGCCGCCATTGTATGATGTGCTTTGTTGCAGTGATTTTTAGTATTTTTACAATGAGATCGAATAGACCTTGTTGTGTGGATTGTGGGGAAACCTTTAATTTTAGTAGAAAGTATTAAAGATTTTACGTTTGTATTGTCGAAATGGTAAATTTAAAAAGATTTAAAAAAATTTAAAAAATAATATATACACTCCCCGGCACAAAATTCCGCCACCCTTAAATTTTGGCCAAGTTTGATGTTTTATAACTTTTTTATTTTTTATCCGATTTTCATTATTTTTCTACCAGTTTGTAGACACATTTATTTTTATTGTTTTTTTATCATTTTAATAACTAACAATTTTTGTTTAGGCGATATTATACAGGGTTAATCAAAATGTTGTTTTTTGTCATAATTTTAAAACACCCTGTGGGAAAATTGAGGCCGTTAATTTTTTTTACAAATTGTTTGATGTAATCTTAGATGTATTACAAATATTTTGTTTTTTGATTCATTCCATTATTTTGTTTCTTGTACGAGCTGTAAGTTTTTCAATGAAACGCTAAAAATTTTACTGTATTCGTCCAGATATCGGTTAAAAATAATCGAAGAGGGCAATTGTTGTGATAGAATGTTTGACAGTTACATTATTAATTTGAGTTGACATCATGGTATTAACTACAGCAGATTTGGGTCGAATTGTTGCCTTAATAGAGGATGGCCGAAGTAAAAGTTATGTCGCTCGTACTTTGGGAATTCCGCGGTCTACAGCTCGAGATGCTTGGAATAGGTATATACAGACTGGAAACTTTTCTAGGCGACAAGGCTCTCGAAGAAGGAGATTAACTACACCAGCTGATGATCACTTCATTGTTGTTAGTTCTTTAAGAGATCGACGATCTACTGCTGTATCTCTAAAAAATAATTTGCAAATGGTTCGTCAAGTAAATGTAAGTGAAAGAACAGTATGTAGAAGATTGACAGAAGCAGGGCTTCATTCACGGAGGCCAGCAATATGTCCACAATTACTTCCTCGTCATCGACAACAGCGACTGAGATTTGCAAGAACCCATTCTGACTAGACCGTAAAACAGTGGGGAAACGTACTATTCACAGATGAATCCAGGGTTTGTTTAAGGTCGCCGGATGGTCGTGAGCGGGTATATAGACGCAAAAATGAAAGATTTGCCGACTGCACCATATCATATGCGAATATCATATCATGGCGGTTCAGTGATGGTTTGGGCGGGTATTTCTAGCGAAGCACGTACCGATCTTATATTTGTTGATAATGGAACTCTAACCGCCCACCGTTACATTGAGGATATTCTTCAAGAAGTGGTCGTTCCATTTGCTCCTTTCATTGGGAACGAATTTATATTAATGCATGATAATGCTAGACCTCACGTTGCACGGGTAGTGAGCAAATATCTGGATGAGGTTGGACTTCCAAGATTGGAATGGCCAGCATGTAGCCCGGATCTCAACCCTATCGAACAATTGTGGGATGAACTTAAAAAGGCTGTTTGACGTCGCCCATTACAACCACAATCTTTGCAAGAGTTACTGCTGGCGCTAAGAGAAGAATATCTGGGTATTCCTCAAGAAAAAATAAGTAACCTTATTCATTCAATGCCAAGAAGATTGCAAGCTGTCATTACTGCGAGAGGTGGAAATACGCCCTATTAAAATGTATTTGTTATTTAATTTTATCGATGTGGCTCCCGTCCCGAGGCGGGACTTAAGTTCAGTCCCGATTGACGTCACACACTGTAAATCCGTTTTTATTCCCCGAGATTTTATAATTTGTGTCAAGCTCGATGGCTTAGATGGTAGGGCGGTCGCTTGGCATGCGAGAGGTACCGGGTTCGATTCTACTAGAAGTTGTCAAACTTTTTTTATTTTTTTTATTTTATAAATTTGTTGTTTCTTTGTTAAAAAGTGTTTTATTTTTATCGTAACATAAATTTGCCCATTTTAGTTGGGTTTTTTGCTCAACATGTATACAGGTACAATTTATTATTATTATTATTATTTTATTATAACATAACAAATCTTAAAATTATGACGTCAATCGGGACTGAACTTAAGTCCCGCCTCGGGACGGGAGCCACAGCGTAATTTTATTATAAAGTGTTTATTTTTTTCCAATAACAAATAACGTTCAAATCGGCGTTTCATTGAAAAACTTGCAGGTGGTACAATAAATGAAATAATGGGATGAATCAAAAAACAAAATGTTTGGAATACATCTAAGATAAATAAATAAATAAATAAATCAAACAGTTTGTAAAAAAAATTAACCGCCTCAATTTTCCCACAGGGTATTATAAAGTTATTACAAAAAACAACATTTTGATTTACCCCTGTAAAATATGGCCCAAACAAAAATTTTTAGTTATTAAAATGATAAAAAACAATTACAATAAATTGATCTTCAAACTAGTAAAAAAATCATGAAGATCGGATGAAAAATAAAAAAGTTATAAAACATCAAACTTGGACAAAATTTTAGGGTGGCGGAATTTTGTGCCGGGGAGCGTATAACATAAAATTGAAAATGTTAAATTACAGAAAAAGTTACTATTTCCGCAAAACCTTGCCCCACCTTGACGAAAAATGTGCTTAACAAAATAAAAACTATATCTGAAGTCAAATAGTTTAAATGCAATTTAATTTATAACCTTAAAATAATCGTTCATTGTGATGCTAGGAAGTTAACATTAAGAATAAAGACAGAAAAGTTTCAATACTCGATAAAATGTTCAAATGTAGCACCCGTTACATTTTGAGAAAATTTTAGAAAATAAAGTATACAATATTTGTGCATTTAAAATAGGTGCTTGTTTAAAGTTACTATTCAAGTTTTACACAAAAAATTATTACTATATGCTTTCATCCAAAATTTTACAGTATCAACTTTAGAAGCCAACTTGGTCGCATTTGCCGCTTTTCTAAGGTCGTTCATTGTGATGCTAGGAAGTTAACATTAAGAATAAAGACAGAAAAGTTTCAATACTCGATAAAATGTTCAAATGTAGCACCCGTTACATTTTGAGAAAATTTTAGAAAATAAAGTATACAATATTTGTGCATTTAAAATAGGTGCTTGTTTAAAGTTACTATTCAAGTTTTACACAAAAAAATATTACTATATGCTTTCATCCAAAATTTTACAGTATCAACTTTAGAAGCCAACTTGGTCGCATTTGCCGCTTTTCTAAGGTCGTGCCCGTTACGCGATTCATGACGTTATAAAAGGTTTTCTATACAAGTTTTTATTGATTGTTTGAGTTAAATATCTAATTTTTATACTATTTTTGTATATTAACGTATCTTGATATATATGTATGAACAAACACTTTATTATCATAAAAAAACGCAGTGTCAGTGTCGCACCCGTTACGATGGAAATACCCTGAGGAAAGAAACAGAAGGGGACATTTTCAATTTTGTCAATCATTTTCAATATGAAGTTTGGGAGATTATAATCTTACTAAGATAAAATGTACCATACAAATAAATGTTATTTTTTTTAAATAAAAAGCATCGGAGAAGCCATTTTTTAAAATTTAAAAAAATGTATTTTTTAGCTATAAGGGAAGACAGAACAAGAGGCGGTCGCTCAACGTATCAATGCTCATACTCTCTACCGCCCTCTATGGCGAACCATCCCGAACTAAGGGGTAGCACCAGCGATTTAAGGCACGACTCACACGGACTTACCGTCAAGTTAGAACCCCCGGATTCTTCGATATCTCATCACAAAAGGATGTCGTTCCCTGGGTCTAAGGGTGTCCCCCCATTATTACAGGTACGTGAAGAAAAGTTACCTGCGAATTATAGTAAATATAAACGAAATTATTTTGCGTCAAATTAAAAAAAATACAAGAAAAAAACACGTATTTTTCTCTTTCTTAAACTAATTGGCACCCAAAAATTTGTCAAATAAACTTGTTTGTTTTTAGAGTTCTAAGAGATTTTAAGTTTTTTAAAGTTTTACGACGGTCTTGGGGCATTTTTTAAGTTCTAAAGAAGCTCATAAAGAAATTTTAAAACATTTTAAAGAGTTTTAAGAAGTTATGCAACGATAACGATTTATCTGCGATTATTATGGTTTGACGATTAACTGTAAAGCCAATTATCGTATACGATTATTTTACGTTTGGAATTTTTAATATTTATATTTATTATTAATATTAACAATTTAGGGTTTTTTATTTTTTTTTAGAAATTATTTTAAGTTATTGTTTATGTTTTTATTGAATTTAATACAGGGTGTTTTACATTCGTGGTCCATTAGAATTTTCTGGGGAACGAAAAAAGATGTAGATTTTAAATTTTAAAAGTGTTTATAATCCATATAAGAATATTTTTCTAAAATATTTTAAACAAAATGCCACTTCCGGTTTAACCGAAAGTGGCATCAACTTTGTTATTTCCAATAGAACATATATTTTTAAATTTTTAAATTCTGTATAAAATCTGAGTTAAATTACTGTACCATGTTTTACACCTAAAGTATATAGTTTTCGAGTTATTAATTTGTTTGGAAATAAAGTTTTTTTATATAGATTCATTCATGTTAAGAAAAAAATAAGCATGAAATTTCTTACTTAAAAATTAAAAAAAATTCCTATTAACTAGTTTTTAGTTGCAATTTTGTAATACAAATATTTATTTTTTATAATTTACATTTTAAAATATTCTTATAGTGCATGTGTTTATTACCAACTTGCTTCAAAAGTGTGAAAGAAAATTTGTTTTTCTTAAAAACGAAGCGAGATGCGAAAATCAGTAAAGCGGAAAAATGTTATATACAGTGTGACTTATTTGTTTGCGACTCGTCCCTGTAAAATCTTTATTTATTGTGCGATTTTAACCGGATTTGTTTTAAAGTGTAGATCTTGATAAACTGTATACTCCAGTAGATAATTAAATGATTTTAAAAATTAAATAAATAAAATCTGACATCTGTCAAATGGTTAACCTCACTTTTTATCAATTTAAAATTTTATTATAGTCGCTTTCTCCCAATTTAAAACCTGATTGGTTTAAATCACAGTGAATATTGAAATCGTCCAATCACTGATGACTGACAACGTGAATAATGAGTTCATTAATCCCGTTATGCAATATTATGCAATAGGAGTAGATAAAAGTTTTTATCTACGAGATTATGCGCATTATTCACTCGGATGATTTAAGTCTCTTGTCTGGCAACTCGAGACGCAAACCTCATCCTAGTAAATTATAAATACTATCGATAGTTTTTGTTAAATCTTTTAGAAGAAATTTCCTAGATTTCCCGACAAAAATCCAGGTTGGCAACACTGGATTGATAGACAATTGTCTAGACAAGAGCTCATAGATATAATACTACCATTATTTCTATGCAAGAGCTGTTGTCATCTCTGTGTGTTATGTACATAGACGTAAGTCAATGGTTACCCTAGTAGCAATGGAATGGGACAAGATTCCCCGGCAATATACTTGGAGAAGCACTTTATACACAATTTGTCAATTCTTGATCAAGACCCTTGGCCAAGATTCTTTATCCAGACTGGCTCCAGACTTGGGCCAGAATTTGACCAGATTCTTGGCCTAGAGTCTTGAGATAGACTTACATGATAAACTGAAAAAAACGACAAGCGCGCCTCCTATTTCCCTACTTTCACTTGAAAGTGAATAGTATAGCATTGCAGTGGTTCTCAATTATAATGTAGTCAATAAGTTTGAAAACGTCAGTTCTTTACAGTTTAGCGTTGAGTTTGAAATAATGCCTCCAAAAAAATTGATTTCATAATTTTTTTATTTTTACCTTGTCAGTAATAAACGAACCTCTACTCTATAGGATAGTCCCTAAGTTTAGTAACAGATGGCCTCAGACTTCTGGTCAAATTCTTGACAAATTCTGGCCACAGTCTGGCCCAAGTCTTGCCCAATGATCTTGATCAAGAATCTGGACCAATTCTTATACAATTCTTGATCAACAATCTGTTCCAAGTATCTTGACCCATGCTGGCCCAAGGCTTTTCCAAAATTGCTACTAGGGTATATGCATGTCATTTGTCAAAATTGAAGAGGGAGCCCAGATAGCACCATTCGTCCAATGGACGTCCGTTTAAGATCCATTTTAAGTACATTGGTCCACGGACTAAAAATGGATGTACTATGTACGTCCATATATTTACATCCTTTGTACGATTTTAATGGACGTCCATATAGTGTCCATTTTACGTCCATAATTATTATTACGGAAATGTAGTTAAAACGTATTGTTGGCTGCATAACAACAGTTATGATCAATCTCACTGACATTCAAGCAAGCGCGGGCTATAAAGGACTTAAGCTATCAATGAAATGTTAAACACTTGTAGTATTGCAAATGTAATATTCGAATACAAGGATTTCCTGAAATGTTTAACATTGAATGTTGTAACTTTTAACAACTTTTAGAATATTTATATTCCTAGTGGGATTGTTACTGAGCCAGACAAAAGGCATTTCAGTCATGTTGTAGAAAATTTTCTGCAACATCGCAATGAAAATACAGTCGCAAAAAACAGTTAAAGTAAGCAAAAAAGCAGGTCCTGGATGCTGGAGGAATGGTTTAAACACCTTATAGACGTCCATCGGTGGACGACTTATGGATGTCCAAAGTTGTGACATCTGGACTCTAAACGGATGTCCATGGGACGTCCATAGAAAAAAATGGACATCCTATGTACATACAGACGTCCACGAGCATACGTCCATTGGACGTCCATAGTATACCTTTGTGCTATCTGGGAGGTTATGTCCATGGAACCTACACAAGAACTTCATGTATACAAAAATCTTCCTAAGATAAAAGGGGGCTGGTGTTCCGTTGGTTGTTTGATTTGTACCGAAACGCTACCAAAACAGAAGACGTCAATACGCATCGAAAATCAGCGCCGCTGGTAGTGAAAAAAGAATAAATGGCTTTTTAAATAAATGGTCCTTAATTTTGATGCAGATTTTCTTTTTTCGATTGTATCAATATATCGATAGTTTTTGCTTAGGTTGTATCGAACTATCGATAGTTTCCCACCTCTAGTTTCCGTATATAATGGTAACCATTATAACCGCCTAACAACAGAAATAATAAAATCATTATTGCCGTTGTTAGGCATTAGTGATTGGCCGATTTTATTATAAACGTTGATTTGGATCAGTCTGGTTGGAATAAGGCAACTATAATGATATATAAAATTTTTAAAAAGTGAAGTTAACCATCTAACAGATTTTAGATTTTATTTATACATTTTTAGAAATCATTCAATTATCTACTAATTGGAGCAGTGGCGGCTGGCGGCTGGTGGATTTTGGGACCCACCCCAAATTTATATGAGTTTATAATGACATTAAATAAACAAGTTCTGCGCAAGCAGAATTTAAATTGAAGTACCGGCTCAATTTAATATAAATTTAATTGGTGCAATTTATTATTTAGCATAGTTTATCGACAAATTTTAAATTTTATTTAAAAAATCCAAATAATACAGATTTTATATAATTTTAAAGTTTTATTATTTCTTTGAAAGGAAATATTAAAAATTACTTATTTGGTGGATTAACGTAATCCTGAAATTAAAATAAATAAATAAAAAAAATTTCTCATATGTTTAATGAAATTGTTTAAATTAATTTATATTGTTTTTGGTATTATATTTATTGGGGGCGCTATGGGGCCGGTACGGCCGAGCAAAATTTATCTTTTTCTCGCAAACTTCAATTTAAATTCTGCTTGCGGAGATCTTGTTTATTTAATGTCATTATAAACTCATATAAATTTGATGTGGGTCCAACTGAGATATCGTATACCCAAAATCCACCAGCCGCCACTGAATTGGAGTAGATAAAATATAGATTATGCGCATTATCTCTCATATAAAAATATACTATTATGTGTTTACTGCTGATTTTTATGTGCTTATGCCATAATCAATCACTTCAGGGTCGAGTGTTGACGACATAGAAATAGTATTATTTCTATTATTATTATTATTTCTATGGTTGACTACAATTTACTTTATAAAGTGCTTAAAGATAAAATTATTTATTTTTAACCTTGATAGCTATAAACTGAATATTTTTAGGAAATAATGGGTGTGGAGCACCTGTGGCACTACAACGAGATGGAACTGAATAAATTAAATACAGAGGGACATTTGGGAAGAGAAGGGGGTAGCGGAGCGGTGCATAACCTCTCAAACCATCCACTGCTGGCTGGTACGGCACTGGCCGGTTCTACCGACACTAATCCGGACTTTGTCGCCAATTTGTGCAACATCGCCGATCACAGGCTCTACAAAATCGTCAAGTGGTGCAAAAGTTTGCCCTTGTTCAAAAATATTTCGATCGACGATCAAATCTGCCTTCTGATCAATTCCTGGTGCGAGTTGCTGCTGTTTTCTTGTTGTTTCCGGTCGATGTCGACTCCGGGCGAAATAAAAGTGTCTCTTGGAAAAAGCATAAATCTTCAGCAGGCCAGAGAAATGGGAATGCAGGCTTGCATCGAAAGGATGCTGAATTTTACCGAACAACTTCGTAGATTACGAGTTGATCAGTACGAGTATGTTGCGATGAAAGTTATCGTGCTTTTAACTTCCGACACTGAGTTAAAAGAAGCAGAAACAGTAAGGGCTTCGCAGGAAAAAGCCTTGAAAGCTTTGCAGGAATACACGTTGTCGCATTACCCAGAGAGTCGGGCCAAATTTGGGGAACTACTGCTGAGAATTCCTGAATTACAACGAACATGTCAAGTAAGAATTTAGATTAGCAACAATTTTTTTAACAAATTTCCTAACAATTGTTTAAAGATGACATGGCATTTATAAACAAAATTTTGTTTTATGCTTTAGTTTTTTTACTTAGTTTTGGTAATCTCAAACTAAAACGGTTTAAGTAAAACCATAAGAGATTATATTATATGGGGATTATTTTATTTTTAAATTTTAGCCTTTTAGAGCGCTAGTTAACTCATCAGCTTGAAGACCCCGTTAAAGATTATTTCGTATCTTATAACTTTTTAAATCAGACTTGGAATTGATTTTTCGCATTTAAAAAAAAATGGCAAAATAATAATAATTTTGTCACTTCTGTCCAATCTTACTTTTCTAAACAAAAAAATATGAACTAATGAATTTATAGTACTTTTTTAATCGATAGATCGGATTTATCCATAACCATAACTTTTTGTTTTAATAACTTCCCAGATAGCACCATTCGTCCAATGGACGTCCGTTTAAGATCCATTTTAAGTACATTGGTCCACGGACTAAAAATGGATGTACTATGTACGTCCATATATTTACATCCTTTGTACGATTTTAATGGACGTCCATATAGTGTCCATTTTAGGTCCATAATTATTATTACGGAAATGTAGTTAAAACGTATTGTTGGCTGCATAACAACAGTTATGATCAATCTCACTGACATTCAAGCAAGCGCGGGCTATAAAGGACTTAAGCTATCAATGAAATGTTAAACACTTGTAGTATTGCAAATGTAATATTCGAATACAAGGATTTCCTGAAATGTTTAACATTGAATGTTGTAACTTTTAAGTTAAAAGTTTTAACAACTTTTAGAATATGTATATTCCTAGTGGGATTGTTACTGAGCCAGACAAAAGGCATGTTGTAGAAAATTTTCTGCAACATCGCAATGAAAATACAGTCGCAAAAAACAGTTAAAGTAAGCAAAAAAGCAGGTCCTGGATGCTGGAGGAATGGTTTAAACACCTTATAGACGTCCATCGGTGGACGACTTATGGATGTCCAAAGTTGTGACATCTGGACTCTAAACGGATGTCCATGGGACGTCCATAGAAAAAAATGGACATCCTATGTACATACAGACGTCCACGAGCAACGTCCATTGGACGTCCATAGTATACCTTTGTGCTATCTGGGTTACGAACAGTTTATCGCACAGAGGCTAACAGACTTTTAAAATACAGGCATTTTTATAAAACTTATTTTGCTCTTGGATGCTTGTTGCATAAATGTTTTTTTTTAGAAAATTCTTGCTTAAAATTTGCAATATCGCGCAGCTTGTTTTTTCTTTAATTACGCAACAATGCTTCAACAAAAAAGCAGGGTTCGACCGATATATACATCATGATATTTTTCACGATATCGATATTTATAAGCAATGATATTTATAAAACTGTTACAATTAAATATTTAACAGCTTTTTTTTAAAGGTAATCTATTATAACAATGTCTTAATAGATGATTTATTTCCATTCTACGAATTTAATAAATATTTGTAGATTTTACACAAAATTTACAGTTAATAATTTAAGAATGTGATTTTTTTAAATTTAAATTTGGTTATTTTGTTCATTTAATCCTGCGCCAGGGTTGCCAGGTCAAAAAAATCGAAATCACCAGATGGTCTGGTTAAAATTCACCAGATCGTTCAAAAAATCACCAGATTTTGATAAAATTTATTTATTATAAATATTTCTATAAATTAAAAAAACACATTCAAATAAATACATATATTTAATAATACATATTATGTAAAAATATAAAAAATAAATTTATTCTAGGTAACATATATACAGGGTGGCCGATTTATCTGAAGACATTGAAATATTTCGAAAACTACGCATCGGATCAAAAAAAGTTTTGAATAAAATTTGTTCGCCTGGAAGGGGGCCATCCAATAATACCAAAGTCGACCCCTCACCACCACCCCCTGGGGTGGGGGTGGGGGCAACTTTAAAATTCCAAATAGGAACCCCCATTTTTTATTGCAGATTCGGATTTCCCATTAAAAAATAAGTAACTTTTATGAAAAAACTTTTTTTTAATTCCTGATAGATGGCGCTGTAATCGCAAGAATCCCGATTTTTGGGAATATCTTAAAAAATTACACATCGGATCGAAAAAAAGAATAACTTGTTTAATTTTTGGATTTTATTCTTATATCAATGAGTTAACATCTATTTTTAACGTTACCCAAGAACAAGGACCAGGACGCAGTAGTTATTTGTTCTCATCTCATCGGGGTGCTAGTTTTAAGAGAGTCCCCCTGCCTCTCACTGTTTAATAAATTAGATTAAATGTTTAAAATTGTGACCTTGAACTTCTAGACACTTATTTATTCTTTTTTCAAATGATTGTACACAGGAGAGGAGCATATCTGTGGAAATTTCAGCACAAGCGTTTCGTATGCGCTGTATCATGTATTCCCGAGTTGTTGGTGCTTGTTGAAAAACCTTATCTTTTAGATAACCCCACAGAAAAAAATCCGGCGATGTCAAATCAGGTTACCTAGCAGGCCAATTAACCGGGCCACCTCTGCCGATCCATCGGCCATTGATATCACGGTTCAATACTTCTCGTGCTGTTGCTGAGTAATGGGCTGGGCAACCGTCATGATGAAACCACATAATTTGTTGAATGGGCAGGGCAACATCCTCAAGTAGAGGTGGTAGTTCATGTTCCAGGAAATTTCGATATTTGATTCCATTTAAGGTTCCATCAATGAAATAAGGACCAATGAGTTTGTTACCTAAAATTCCACACCAAACGTTAACCGACCAGGGACGTTGATGTTCAACTTGTCGTAACCAGTGGGGATTGTCCACACTCCAATAGTGCATGTTATGCCGATTAACGGAACCATGGTTTGTGAATGTGGACTCATCTGAAAATAGTACATTAGCGAAGAAATTGGGATTTCTTTGTATTTGCTGAACTGCCCATTCACAAAATTCTACTCGCCGATGAAAATCATTGCCATGAAGTTCCTGAGGCAGTGAAACCCGGTATGGGTGATACTTGTGACGATTCAATATTTTCCGAATACTATCTCTGGAAATCCCGAGATCCCGATGTATTTCCCGAGTGCTTACATGAGGGTTATGTGGAACAGCTGCTATCACATTAATTTCATTAGCTTCTCCTGTGACAGTGTTTCTATACCAAAGGTATAAATATGTTTTTATAACATACCTACATATTATGTACATACCTGGACGCATTAGTAAGCTATAATAGTTATTTATGTATTAAGGGCATAATAAGGTTTTTATGGTCCGAGGCGCTATTTCGAGCCCGAGCGCGTTAGCGCGAGGGCTAGAAAAGCGTCGTAGGACCATAAAAACCAGTTATGCCAGCAATGCATACAAAACTTTATGCACGATTAATATATTATTATTTTTAATGTATTATTGTTTTTAAAGACGTTTACGTCAAAGAATTTTTGTTATAATTGTCATATTATAATGTCAACTGACATCAGTCAGTTTTAAAGTTTAAAGATAAATGAAATTGAGGAAGCAGCTGAAAAGGCGAAAAATTGCGGCCTGCTGCCGGTAAAATCAAAATCTTTATACGAAAAACTTAATTCGAATATATCAAATGGTGTAACATTGTTGTTTTTAATTTTTGACGTTTCATTATAGCCCGCTGGGCCATAATAACGCCCGCGGGCTATAAAAAGACGTTTACGTCAAAGAATTTTTGTTATAATTGTCATATTATAATGTCATCGTGCATAAATATTTTTAATTTGTACCAACATAAAAAAGGAATTAAATAATTTAATTTATTTTGAATTCCCTAACAATTCTCGTATACACTAATTATAATTTTTAATGGGAAATCCGAATCTGCAATTTTTCAAGATATTCCCAAAAATAGGGTTTCTTGCGATTACAGCGCCATCTATCAGGAATTAAAAAAAAGGTTTTCCATAAAAGTTACTTATTTTTTTATGGGAAATCCAAATCTGCAATAAAAAATGGGGGTTCCTATTTAGAATTTTAAAGTTGCCCCCACCCCCACCCAGGGGGTGGTGGTGAGGAGTCGACTTTGGTATCATTGGATGGCCCCCTTCCAGGCGAACAAATTTTATTCAAAACTTTTTTTGATCCGATGCGTAGTTTTCGAAATATTTCAATGTCTTCAGATAAATCGGCCACCCTGTATATATAAATATAAAACAAATCTCTCATATAACTTAAAACTCTAAACAAAACTGAGAATAAATTATAAAAATTAACAGTTATTATATCACAAATAATACTAATTACCTACATAGAACAAGAAACCAAAATAAAATGTGATAAAATTTAAATTTCATTTTGGTACATTAAATTGCAATATTTCTTTAGCATATTTTTGCTAATGTTAAAATTATAACAGCAGCAACCGTCATTGGTAACTAATCTTTTAGCATAAATTCGTTCTACAGAAGTGAATTTGACAAATGTTACCAAATAATAAATAAATAATAACGACATAACCCTAGTCTAGGGACATAACCAACAGTTGGTTACAAACTCTTGTTGCCCCCCTGCAACTAGCAGGGGGGCCAACATACATCAAGGTAAACTAAACTAGACAACCCAGTTTACTTGTCTGCTCACTCAAATCTGGGATTTTCTTATTTATTACAAATTTTGATTTATCACCAGAACTGGTGACAAATCACCAGACCTGGCATCGCTGTCCTGCGCATTAATTGTCTAAAAGACGACCGTAGCGCTATCTATTGTCACAATTGTATACTGGCCGTGAAATCGTCGTTTTATTGTGTTAGTTTTAATCTATGGTACACTGAAAAAAATTTACGAAATTTTACACATCCAAACACACATTTATTTCTGTTTTTTTACTTAAGAAATGTGTTGTTCCATATAAAACATGTACACACATACTTACATAAGTAAAATAGCATCAATTTATGTATTTTTTTAAATTAATTGTAGTTTTTCATATTATTATGTAATAAATCCTTAAATTTATGTGCTTTTACAATTTTTAATGTACTTGTACTATTATTTTCCTAAATTTTAGACTTACATGACCTTTGCATTTTTACACATTATTTACAGTATGTTTGTACATATACATTTAAATACGTGGCATCAAAATAACCAACGATCAGATGTGTAAATTTACTAAATATTTTTTTGAGTGTAGGGCTGTGTATAATTTCAGTGATAAAAGTAATAAAAATAAAATGCCAAAGAAAAAAGATATGATAAACCTTTAATTAATATTTTTTTAAATTAAAATTTAATGTTTTATTTTTTTTGTTAAGAATTTATTTTTTGTTTACTTTGTGAAATAAATTAATTAAAAACATTTTTATTATGGATAATATAATTAATTTTTGGCCAAAACCTTTAAAGAAATAAATAAAAAATAAATATTAAGATGTTGATATACAAGGTGTGTTTAGAAAATATCGGGAATTTTCGTTTTTTGAAAAAAATATTTATTTATTGGTCTACATTAATATTGTCGCCTTCAAAATAGTCCCCATTGGACATTATGCACATGTGCCAGCTCTTCTTCCAATACTCGAAACACTTCTAAAACTCGATCTTTGGGATAGCCTTTAGTTCTTTCAGAGATGTCATCTATGCTTGCAAAACGACGGCCCTTTAAATTTCTCTTTATTTTTGGAAATAGGAAAAAGTCAGACAGAGGCATGTCTGGCGAATATGGAGGCTGGGGCATAATTACAGTATTGTTTTTGGACAAAAATTTTGTTCAAAATTTAACAATTTTGGAACAAATTTTTCTGCCACGCGTTTCATACCCAAAACATTCGAAAAAATTTCATGAGATGAGCCAATCTACTAACATCATCAGCGACTTCTCTGATGGTTTATAACCATTTCTTCCACTTTTTCCATGTTTTTATCGGTTGTTAATGTGCTTGTGCGTTCGGGGCGTTCGTCATCTTTAACGTCTTCACGGCCATCTTGGAAACTTTTATACCACTTGTAAACTCTTGTTTTACTTATAGCAGACTCACTATAGGCCTTTGTTAACATTTCCCAAAATTTATTTCATTTTTTAAGCAAAATTGGATACAAATTTCTTTGATCCATTTCTTTTAACGAACGAAAATCGCCGAGCTCATAAAACACCTCTAACCTTAGCGGCTGCCACAGACAAAGTAAACGATGAAAACAGCTAAAGTTTTTATCATAGTTCGGAGGCATGTATACCAATATAAATTTTATGAAAACCGGACCTCCGAACCCGCGAAATTTAACAATTCCCGTTAATTTCTTAACACACCTCGTATATCGGATATATATACGATATTTTGATATTTTTATAAATATCATGATATTTTCGAACCCTGCAAAAAAGTAAGTAAATCAAAAAGTTTTAATACCTATTAAATTGCGCTTTTAATATTCATAATATGTATATTAAAATCTCAATTTATTAGGTATTAAAACTTTTTAATTTACTGTAATATTATTTTTAAATTTTTAAAAACTTACACTTCGCATCTGAAGATGCCAACATCGTTGGCGAAAAGTACTTTAGGCACTTTGTTTTGTTGTTGTGTTTTAATATTTGTTTAACATAACACAAAAGTTGTCCTTTTTCAAGTATGTTACTTTTATATTGACAAAAAGGTGAATTTAGAAATATTAGTTTTGAAAAAATACTATCATGATATTTAAATTCAAATGTCCACTTTGATTAAACAATGCCAATGTTAAATTACAGAAAAAGTTACTGGGAACATTTTGAGCTTTCAGTAGGAAGTTAAGTTGATTATAATCTAACTTAAGTTGCACCCAGAAACGTAGCGACATCTTTTCCAGAGTCCGCATTTCCGAGATTCCGATAATATTTTCCAATAAATGGGAACTAAATTTCGATGAATTTAAAAAATCGCTGTTGCTCCCGTCCCGAGGCGGGACTTAAGTTCAGTCCCGATTGACGTCATAATTTTAAGATTTGTTATGTTATAATAAAATAATAATAATAATAAATTGTACCTGTATACATGTTAAGGGCACTTTAGTTACGTCATAAAACCAAACCAACCCAAACTCAACAACACAACCCAACCGACCCCGCCCCATTGGGCCCCCCCCCCGCCCCATTGAGCAAAAAACCCAACTAAAATGGGCAAATTTATGTTACGATAAAAATAAAACACTTTTTAACAAAGAAACAACAAATTTATAAAATAAAAAAAATAAAAAAAGTTTGACAACTTCTAGTAGAATCGAACCCGGTACCTCTCGCATGCCAAGCGAACGCCCTACCATCTAAGCCATCCAGCTTGACACCAATTATAAAAGCTCGGGGAATAAAAACGGATTTACAGTGTGTGACGTCAATCGGGACTGAACTTAAGTCCCGCCTCGGGACGGGAGCCACATCGTTAAAAAATATTTAGTTAAAGATTCGAACGTGAAGTTTTATTTGCTGCCGACTCCAACTGCAGCTAATGCCGACTAACGACTAATTATTTAAATAATAGACGAAAGAGAATTAGACAAAGTAGTTTACTTATTTATTTTGGGAAGACTTTAAAGATTATTCTGCAAACTCGCGGCCTTTTCGATAAAAAAGTCGGAAATGTAGTAATTTCAAACAATAAATAAAAAATTTGCAGTGACTTAAGTACCTGAAACTTGGCTTTGTTTCCCATTAAATTTTTTATTCACAAACACAATATTTTGATGCTAATTTTTATTGTCAATGAAAGTCGGGAAAGTAAATAATAAAGACTGATGATTTTGTAAATTTTTTGTTGTTTGTTCGTGAATTTTGTATATGCCGGATTAAAGAATTAGCTTTCAAATCAAATTGATAGTCAACCGAAAAAGTTTTTTCTACAAATGGAAACTGATGAAGGAAATTCTCTTGTCTGATGACAACAACAATTTTTTAAACATAACGCTTACATTTCGTTAAATTTCCCTGACCTTACTCGACTTAAAACGGATTCCCTGACTTTTAGGTTTTCAAGGGTGCACGATTCTGTGGGGACAATTGCCACTCCCGAATCACGCCACTGACACCATTCAAATGTATTGTTTTTGTATTTTGAAAAAATATTTTTCTTTAGGTTGGCAAAGAGATGTTGACAATAAAATCAAAAGATGATGATGGACCCAGTTTTAATTTGCTGATGGAACTGTTGCGGGGAAATCACTGAGTCAACATGGATGTTAATTAAAAATAAGAAGAAAACTCACGTGCCTTATTAGCTTATGTGGTGGTGGGCCGCTCACATGCACATTTAACAATTTCTCATACAGACAGTATTTGAAAAAACAACCATCTATCAATTATGCCTTTACTGTAACACGTTCTACACATGTAGCATTTCAATTTATTGTTTATCAAAATTTCTTGCCATGAAAAATATTTTTTACCTGATGTATTAGAGCAAAATTAATTATCTACTTTTCTTAGCTTTAAGTGAAACTTTACGTACTTATGACACACAAGTGTCCAAAAATTCTGTAAACCTCACAATAATGTGGGCATAGTTTGTAAGTTTATAGACTTTTGTCAAAAGCTGTACATATAGTTTAAGTTTCTATTTTGATATTTTTATATTATGACTATTATAAGAGGCTATGTTTATATTTTAGCCAAGACCGTTAATATTTTTACGTATACTTACAGGGTTATTGCAAATATTTTATTGATGATAATCCGATCAAATTTCATAGTTAGTTTAATGTACATAAATATTGTTTTAAATTTTGCTGTTATTTATTGATAAAGCCATTTTGTACTAATTTCATATTTGAAATATACCCTGATATTTTTACTATCCTGCTCGAAAAATTCTTGTATCAAATACAAGTAGGGCAATCAATTAAATAGAAGAGAAAATATACAAATTTGCAATTATTATGTACCAACAGTATTTCACTAGTCCAACTAAGAAGAAAATAGTTGTATAAATCTGTTTATTTTGCTCTTTTTGATTTTGTATGGCTAATTTTTCTACCAAGTTTATAAAGATGCAAATTAAAAATCAGCTATACAAAACACCAATCCATTCCAATGTTAATTATTTTTATGTAACTAAAAATGTAGTTTTCAACATCGCCGATTTTACATAATACAAATTTAAAATTGAGTCTATTGTTATAAATAGGCGTCAATTTTTATTTATTTGTTTTTTTTTTCAAAAATTAAAGCTTTATTTTTTTATTGTGCCAAATTTTGATAATGTATATTCATTTTTTTTTAATACTATTTAGATCAAATAACAAAATTTAGAGTTCAATTTAGTAACCATAAAATTATTGTTTGCATTTTCTGAAAATTTATTTTTAAAAATCATCCAAGAGTCTTAAGTAATTATGTTTCAGTGCAATATACCTCATCTCACAATATTATTTTCATTCAAGTTTTTTAAATTATTAAAATTTGACTGTGTAAGGTGTATAAAAAATTAAATTACCAATTATAATAACATGGTAATTAAAAAAATCTTAAAAGACTTAGGGGAGGCCTTCCAAGGCTGCATACAATGCAGTATTAGCCCTAAAATTACTTTTTGTACTCAATTTATTAGCAATTATACAAAAGAATTTTTGTATTGACAAAATATATAATATACAACCTAATATGATTATTTTTTTAATTATAAGGGTTAACCCTTATCACGATACCCTTCAGTTCCAGAGACTTTACAACGACCATTTTTAAGTTCTGCTACGTCATCTTAGCAAATTATTCGACCGTTTGTAGGCACCGCGCGCCTTTGGATGAATAAGTGGTTGTTTAAGCAACCATTGCATATTTTGTTTTTTTGTGTGAAAATGATGTAGTGTAGCCTAGTAAATAATGTTGTAAAAGGTAAGATATGTAAACATTTATTGTAAAAACGGTTTTAATGCATAGATGAATTTAAAAAGGATGTTGATTAAGTCGAAATTTGTATAATTTTATTTTATATATTCTGAAAAAATATTTATATTTTTTGTTTACATTATTTCCGTAGTTCCGTAGTTAGTCCTATTATAATAGGAACTTAGTTTTTCCTATCACCCCTACAGGTTTTATTGCATTTTAAATATTTTTTTATTTTAATAAAATAAATAATAAAAATTTAAAATCTAATATTTGGATTTTTTAAATAAAATTTTTTGATTAATTATAGTTAATTATAAATGGCACCGCTTTAATTTGAATTATCTTAAATAGGGGGGCCAGGAGGCGGGTGAGGCGACACGAAAAACTAACTTTTTTCACAAACTTAAATTTAAATTCTGTCTGCACCGATCTATTTAATGTCATTATAAACTATTATAAATTTGGTGTGGGTCCCATATCTAATAACTGAGATATTGGTATATCCAAAATCCACCAGCCGCCACTGCAGTGAATATTGAAATTTGCCTAACAACGTGAATAATTTTTAATGAGTTCATTGTTTCCATTGTTATGCAGGGAATTTATAATGATTATCAATATTTACAGAAAAACCCAATATTATACAATAGTATACTATTGTATATATATTATAATATTGGGTTTTTCTGTAAATATTGATAATCATTATAGTACTATAGTAGATAAATTTATCTTAAGGTAATTATGAACTATAAAATAACCCTTTAAATTTACCAACTGGTTGCTATTACCTTAAGGTAAATTCAAATATTAAATTTAACTATTAAACTTATTTGTAATATAACTTACAAGTTGAATATTTGTTTTTTATTGTCAATTAAAACTTTTAAATAAAAAGTAGGTTATTTTAGAAGTTACATAACGTTAGAGTTACCTTTAATTTTATTTAATCAACGAAAATGTAGTTATATATATATATAGTATAGATATATTTTGGTTTAATTTAACTTTTGATATAACTTTTTATTCTTATTATTTTTAAATCGTATTTAAAATAATATGTGCTACTTTATCAAAAAAAATAAAATGTTTTTTCTGTTATAGCTATTATATGTTACTATAGTAGTAGTAGTATCCCAGCTAGCACAGAAACATCCCAACAATGTACAGCGATGTAAAATTGGGTACATTTGACGGAAAAATCGAAAAAAAGTGGTTAATCTAACCACAATTTAATTCCCTATTTATTTCAAAATAACCTTAATTTACAATATTACTCAAATGAATTAACCAGGCATACCGTTAATTTAACCAGTTGTGGTATTTGGGGATATTAGGCTAAGAAAATATTGGTACCTAAATATTAATCATATTCCGCGGCAAATTTGCAATCAATTATGATATGCAGAAAATGTGAATTAGAGATTTATGTTTTACGAAAATTATGTTTAATTTTGTATCCTTTAATCTTTAGAAAAATAACAAAACAAATAAGTGATTGATAAAAAGTCTTAGACATTCTCTTATTTTAGCGAAATTAGTTCGTTTTAGTTGATCAAATAAAAATATTTTGATTTTTGTGAAAAAATTAGTACCTTAAAGGGTTAATAAAACATCTAAATACATGCTAAATTTATTTATAATACAATGATCAGTCATATACAATGTTTCAATAATAAATTTTAGCGTGATTGACATACACTCCAAATACAATATACATTTAAATGAGCTTTTAAGGAGGATTTCTACGAACAATGATAATGATATGCATGAATCTACTGTTCACAATCCATAACAATACAGAATTAACATTTTTAATAGTCAATAAATTTATACATAGGAAAAGTATGTACTTATTGCATATTTTGACCACCACTTAAATGTTTTCTATTATCTATTACATGAAATGAGATGATATGAGCATGATATAATTATAATAAAACTATTTTACTTTGATATCCAAAAATACATTTTAAAACGTTCCTTAAAAGCCCACCAAAGCCTGAGCAAAACTCGCGTTTAATTTGAAACAACTGAAATTTTTTCGCACTGCACCACAAATTCCTTCAAATAAATCAAAATCTATCTATAAATGAAAATTTTACAATAAAAATAAATTTTAAATAATAAAAATATATAGTATGTTTCTATTTAATGATCACATGTTACTACTGAATAAAAATGGATATTTACATCAACAGTTTAAACAATAATGAACAAAATATGATAGTGTTCTTACCTATATAATGTTTATCCATACCAAGAGGACGAGAATTTATTCATATTTTGATTGTTTATAAAAAATTAAATGATAAAACTATAACTAGTATATTACAAGTATTGATTAATAATAGATAATATTAGTAATAATATAATGGGCATATACAGAAAACCCAACCCAATGTATCACAGGCAATATTAAATATGTTTAAGGGGTTACTGTAAATAGAAGTTTAAAATTCTTGTTAATTCAAAGTATTTTCTTAATAATACAAAATTGAATAATAAATACCCCCAAAAAAATTTCTTAATTCTATTTAGGGTGACCCCCTTTAATTGCTTGCGATATATCATGGGTTAGCTACATTCTCGCTAGAAATGTACAGACTGTAGAAAACGATGCAACAATTATAGCAGTAACAAATATTCAACTTAATAGAATTGTGCTAAGCGAATATCAATATATCGCGACAAGCAATACTTTAGCTATATGGACGCAAAACATTACAATAATTAAAAATTTGTTCTTGTGCTTGTTCATTACTATTTGTTTCATCAAAAATTTAATTCAAGTAAGTTACTAAATGAAGCATTCAATTATTTTAAATTTTTAAGTAAATTCCACTGTTTCCCTACATATTTTGATCACAAGTTATGTTTACAAACTGAGCAAAACACATTGCAAGAATAATTAGAAAACATATATTTTTCTCTTACACAAAAAATCTTCTTTATACTTTGCAATAATTTAAGTGTTAAATAATGTTGTTTCAATGTACGAAGTGGGAACAAAACCTTCTTCATTTTCACCATCTTTACGTCTTACCCTTGTCCAACCATCACCTTGATCTAATTCAATTAAATGTAGCTCCTCGTCCTGTTCCATTGGTATACTACCTTCACTTGTTGCTAAAATAAATTTAAAATGTAAAAATACAAAACCGTTTGTAAATGCTCCAAAATCAAAATTCAATAGAAAGCTGATAAATCAGTGATTTGTGGATAAATCCCAATAAGATATTTTATTTAGGGGACAGTCCATACAGGGCGTCACATCCTAGGTGACATAGGTTTTTCGGGGGGGGGGGGGTTGTGAAAATGTGAAGAAATATTTTCTTTATTATTACCTATATATATTTTTTTGAATTGTTACGTGACAAAGGGGGAGTTGAAAATCTCTTGAAAAAACGTAACGTCCTTTATGGACGACCCCTAACAACATTTTTATAATTTAAAATGTATATGATGATTTGCGCCAAACAATAATTGACATTTTGAAATATTTTCTTTAATTTTAATCCAATCCTAAATATAAGTAACAAAATTATGATTACTTAATAGTATTAATTAATTAAGAGATAATTAGAGATTTTCAACTATATTTAGGATTGGATTAAAATGAATTAAAATATTTAAAAATGTCAATTATTGTTTGGCGCAAATCATCATATACATTTTAAATTATAAAAATGTTGTTGGGAGTCACGTCACAATTTAAAAAATATATATAATATATAAGTTAATAGTAGGTATTAAGTTAATACCATTTAAAAACATTTTTAATTATTTTAAATCTCACACACTTTAAGTTCAATAGTTAAACTTAAAGTATGTATAAGGGATACTTCCAACTTAACTTAATATTTGTTGAAACAAAAGGTTTATACATATAAGGCCTCTTTGTTTTTTTAATTATATTTTAATATTTAAAATATATTTCAATAATTAAAATATAATATTCTAATTATTAAAATATCCATTTTTAAACATAAACAATTTTGTCAAAAGAATAGTTAAAAAAAATTATTTGAAATGGGGAGAATGTTTTATTTGCCTCATTTAAAAGATCATAACAGTTTAAAAAGCAATTCCCTGCTTAAATTACCCCATAGAGACCTATACAAAATAATCTATCGGGCGCTACCGGATTCAATATGTGCATTTGTCCATGGTTTTTTCCGGATACGGCCCGATAGAAAATTTATAGGAAATTACCCTTAGACACACCATCTTGAGACCGATAGCAAATAACTTAATGAAGGATATATAGGGATATCCCTATAGAGCAACCATAAAACATTTGACAAAATTTTATTAAAACGTATGGGGTCCTATAGGGGAAAAACTAATTTCTACATTTATGTGTGTTTTTCCCATTGAAACCGATAGCAAATAAATCAAGGGTGCATATACCTATAGAACAACCATAAATCTCAACTATGGGTCCTATACAAACCAATACACCCTATAGAAACACCATACATCCCGATACAAATATCTATCAGTTTGAACAGGATCTCTATGGGGTATTTTAAGCAGGGTTATAATAATTTTGATTGTCCACCATTTATCAAAAGGAGAAAAAATGAATTCGAATTTCATAATTTCACTTGTACTTTACTACTTTAATTGGGAAAACCTTGAAAACCGCATTTATAATGGTTTTGAGCGTTGTCAATTTTTTAAAACCACAAATAAAATTTAGCTCAAAAAATAAAATTTCATCCTTTAATTTAAACTTTTATTTGGATTTTTTAAACTGGTTAAACTTTTTCATAGCTTTACAGTTTGGAGAGTATAAATTACTGGGGATAAAGAACGGTAAAATACTGCAAACATAAATGATAATATCATAATGATAAAAAACTAGTAAAAACGAATTTATGATTTTTAGCGCTTGCCCATTTTAAAAGGCCAAAAAATAAAAAAAATCCTTTTCTATGTTCGTTTTTTTTTAATTTGGCAAACTTTGTTAAATAGCTTCAAAAGTTTTAGTTATATAATCAAAAGAATTTATAATGCTTTTGAGCGTTTGACCACTTAAAAGTACAAAAAATTAAATTTAATTTAAAAAAATGTAAGGGACTTTTTATTTTTTTTTATTTGGGAAACCTATTCAGCACTTGCCATTCCCCAAAACTTTTTTCTGAAAATTCCACACCTGTAATTTTTAACCAATCAAAACGTGTATTTTTGATAGATCACCATGGCAACGGTTGAATTTTAGTGGAAATTTTTTCCTCATGGGTACCCAACAGCGAATTATACTGGAAATTTTTTGACGTTTATAATGACAGAATATTTGTTTGACAATCTGGTTTTTATTTGTTTACATGATAATTTTGATACATTTCCATTACAAAGTTTAGATGTTTTATATATTCGTTGGACACCTCCTTTCTTCTTAATGGCGAAAATGCAGGACTTGAAATAAATTAAATGTCTATGTCTAATGAAATATATATAATATTTAGACACTATTCTATTCACCTTTTTTTCCATTTAGCACTTTGAGTTTTGAATAGTTAAGATGCAAATATTCGTGAACAATTCAAAACAAATTTTCTTTCTTCAAGTAGGAGCCACAATCCTCTAATAATGCGGGTAAATAAGTCATTGCACGATGATTGATCATTACAGCAGACAATTTCACATTTTTTTACGTCGTGCCGCTTGACAGCTTCAAAACTGAAATAACTTTTAGGTTGGGGTTGACTTAGTTGCCATGGTAACTAAATAATCAAGTCAAGGTCAAGTTAAATCAAAAAATAAATTTTAATTATTTAAACACAATTTGGTGTGGAATTTTCTTACCGAATACCACACGAGGTCAAATTAAATCCGGAAATTTTTTCTCCCTCATGAATATTTTTAGAAAATTATCCCTCGTCTTCGACTCGGGATAATTTTCAAAATATTCATGAGCTCGAAAAAATTTCCGGAAATAATTTGACCTCTAGTGGTATTACTAGTGAAAATTTATACATCTTTACGGATGATATCCGTTCACTGATATCGAGATTTCTGACGCTGATTGTAATCATAATATTATGATTATAATAATTATTCCTGTTATTTTAATTCAGTAAGAATATTCAACCGGGCGGCAAAAAAACATTTTCGGTTTTGTATTAACATACAAACTTTCGTTTTATTTGACACCTCGATTTATAAAATTATAATTTTATAATTGAACTTTATAAATCATTCATTATTTTGTAATTAGATATTTTAAATACACTCCTTTTTGCAAAAGAGACCCGACCGACAGTATATTTGAGGAGCATCCGTGCAAAACCGGCTAAATCCATTTTATTCAGTTTTTGTTTTTTTTTTGATTTCGCATCTTTGGTTTCATTTCTATTGACAAGTTGTCGACGACAACCAAGATAATTCAGTTTAAATCCGACTAAATCCGTGTTAAAATTACATTTAAAAGGTAGCTTTTGGAGCAAAACCGGCCAAATCCACGTTTTTATAGCAAACCCGGCTATATCCAATAAATAATAATAGGTGGCTTGGATATGTCGATACTACTACTAAAATTTGTTCTGTTTTTTCATGTTTGCACTAAATTTATTTCGTTAATATTTTTGAATAATAAAGGTTTTTTTTCACATTTTATTCGTTTTTTATTCGGTTTTCAAGCAAAACCGGCTATATACAAAACATTTTTTGAAATTTTGGCCTTAATATAGAGTTTTTGCCATTTTCCCAACATTTTATTAAAGTGGATATAGCCGGTTTTGCACGGATGCTCCTCATTTAACGATTACGTTTATTTTCTTTAATTCAATATTCAGTTTTATATTTTTTTCTGTAAAAAGGATATTTTATTAAATAAAAATATTGTTAAGTTGTTGATTGCTACTTTTTTCAAATGAGTATAATTTTAAAAAAGACAATTTTTCCAAGACCTGGGTAAAAAACGGAAAAAACGGTTTTTTTCCTCAATTTTTCTGATTTTTTTGACACGAAACCAAAACAGAACAATTTTTGGGTAGTAAGCTTCACCCCTTCGTGCATTGGTCACAACCTCTTAAAATTTGGTCCTGCTCCAATTAAGTTGACGTGTCTGCGTTATTTTAAATTACTGCCTACTAACCGAAAATTGCTGTTTCGTTTTTGTTAGGCCACTCTGTATCAATAGATAGGGTTATTTTATTGATAGATTAACAGTCAAAATTTACAATCAAATGGCCATTAACCAAGGTCCTTCACATATATAAATTAAATTGAAAGTTTTCACAAAAAACACAATGATATTCTTACCTTCAAAAGCGTAGAGAGCCTTGCAGGTTCCTATAGATGGCAGCATGTCAGCTTCATAGAACTCGCTGTCCGGATCGACTCCGTTTCCGTCGTACTGATCAGGATCAGAATCGACTCCGGGCAGGGATGTGTGCGACGTGCCCAGTCCACTTTCCGGGCTATTGGAACAACTATATCAAACATCGAGAAAAAAGCGTCGTTGAAATTAAAAAAGAAAGAAAACTGCCAATTGGAAATTAAAATAAGGGACAAGCAAATTTTTGTTTGTTGGTTGGTGAGCTTAAGCTGTGGAAGCAATATTGGATTTTTGTATTTACAGTGTATTAAATAAAAAGTAACATAATCAGTAATTATTGTGAATCTTTGGTTAATTGTTTGGTTAAAATGCTTATTTTTTAAGTAAAACTTCTTTGTGAAATGGTATGAACAAATTTTATTGTTTTTTTAATCTTAAGCTTAAAAGCTTAAAACAATTAAATATAATTTAACTTTTTATACCATAAGCCAATTGTTAATGAAAATGATATAAATAAAATTGTTAGCAATAAATATGTTGAATTCTTCAAGGCAACCTAAGTAATAACAAATATAATGATTATTATTTAAATAAAAAAAAACACGAATTTAGAAACATTGTCCAAAAAAGTTTTACCTTTTTAAGATTATTATATTAACAAAAGCAAAAGCTGTTTTAAAAGGAATAAGAAGCATATTCTCGATAATGTATCTAATCTAAAGGCCTTAGCTAAAGAAATTTATTGTCCAATATCGATTGAATGTTAGAGTATGTTTTAAATTTAATTTATTCTGTTTTGTATCATTTTGACTCTTTTAACGTCAACTATTAGACTAATTTGGGTGTACTTAACTTTAAAATTTTAAATATTTAAAAAATGACGCCCAGTGTAATTCCTATAGTTTTAGTCGTGTGTACATAGAAAAAGATAATACCCAATGGTTCTTTAAATTTGGTTGTTGTGGTAGATAATACCTAATGGTTGTTTAAATAAATAAGTACTCGTACATTTTTAATTTTACAAATTTTTAAAAAGTTTAGAACTTCTATTACAGACAAAATACCGCCAAAGAATTTAGTAGAAAGGTTCTATTTATTAATAAACAGTTTTTAAATATAAAATTTATGTTTTCCTTATAAATATTCTTTACAACACATTCCATTGCATTTTTCTTGTAAATTTATGAATGTTTTAGTATTACATTTTAAAATAATGTAAATAATATGTATATTAATTAATGTAATGGGTAAGAATTTATTATAGTGGGTTAAATGTGAATTATTTATTTTTATTAAGCTATTCCACGATAGGTAATCGGAAATTTTTATCCCGACAGTCACAAATTGTATTGTGGCGGTACGGATAACAATTTCCGATTATCGTGGAATATCCTTATCTAATAAAAATATACCTACCACATTTAATCCACTGTAATAGATACTTCACTTATCCATTAAACATTATTTAAATAACCACTATAGAATCTTTAACCCTATATCAGAAGCTTGCCACATTTAATCTGCCATATCAGAACCTTTAGCGCGACATATCAAAATGGTAATGATTCTTGTAAGTGCCTTTGACTGCCATTACATGCCTATAAATTTGAACATGACATAATATGTAAAGTTCCATTAAAGTTAGCCCTTAGTTCATTAAAGGCACGTTTATAAAGGGCCATTATAGAACCTTTATGGTTGTGTTTGCTGGGAGCATTAAATGTTGTGTTTAAATTATATTGTTCAACAATAATTGTTGTTATAAAAATTGTTACATATTATAATATTATATTATAAATATAATAAATAATTTTAAAACGTATTGTTTCAATAAAATTTGATAAAAAACATGGTTAAAAATTTGATAAAAAACATGGTTAGAAATGTATCTAAACAAGTTTTAATCGTAATTTTATTGCAAAAATGAGTTTTAAAGCTCAAAAAGTCTTTTTTTTTAATATTAATTTAATTGTAGAAATGTGTTTTATTGTCCTAAAAAGCGTTTTTAACGGGATTCTTTTCATAAAATCCCTTATGTACTTCAAAAATGCATTTTTGTGAATTCTCTTCATCTTACGTGTTTTTTTTTATTATTTTAATTAAACTTATTATTTTAATTAAACTTAAGAATTATTGAAACTTTAAAATATTAAAATAACTTCAAAATATGTTAAGAAAATATTTTATACTTTTATTTTTTTATTACTATAATTGCAAAATATTATCACAAAGTATTAAACATTCTTACACGGGAAAAGTTAAGGATACAAAAAGTGAATTTTCGTTAGAATTTCTAACCTGGGAATCCACCGGCGTTGAAATCTAAAATTTTTCTGTGTAAATCAAAATGTATCCCTTGAAAATAGACTAACAATCGATATAAAGAGAATGCAAAATTTTTAACGATTCATCAGTTAAATCTAGTTAACTGCAAAGGCAAAATCAAAAGGCAAGTACAAACGTTCATGGATTATTTTCAAATATTAATATAATAATAATTAATATTTAATACTTTTTGTATTTTCACATTTAGTATTATTTTACATGAAAGGCACTTTATTATAACGATTCTATGACATTTTAAAACTGTCAACTAACTTCAGCCCATGACTAAAAACCTGTTGCTAACTTTAGCCTGTGACTAAAGAGCCATAAAGCCACAGTTTGTTAATGTGTATTTAAAAGGTCATGGAAACGTACTATAATGGGCGTTTAAAGGTAGAAAAATATATATAATATAAATTTTTGTGAATTTGTAAAAAAAGTCAATAGAAATAGAAATTACAAAAATGCATTTTTAAACTACAGAAGGGATTTCATGAATATAATACTATTTGCACTAGGTTATAAAATTATTACTTACACCATGTTATAAAATTAATATTTAAAAAAAAACTCATTTCAAATGGTATTTTTGTAAAAAAAATAAAAATTTCCACTAAACTATTTCTTTTAGGAATGACCCCCGCGGATTTTTTTAAAAATCGTGTGGAGTTATTCTTTACATTAAAATTATAAATCACTAAAGATTTGAGCTCTTAATATTAAGTAGGTACTTTTGTGGTAATGATTTTTCGAATTTTGATGATATTTTTTAAACTTTTTCGTTAAATTTTTACCACTTTTATTTTAAATTTGATATATTTTCTAAAAGCTGAGAATTTTTACATAAAATGTTTAATTGTGTTAGGGTTATTTTTTTAAAAATTCAATTAAATAGAGAAGGATGAGCACTTTTAAAAGCGCTCATAAGTGCTCATAAATGCTTGAGCATTTACCAAAGTGCTCAATATTTGAATTTGGCGCCAAAACTAAAAAGCGGGGTTATAAATTAACCAACAAATAACTACTGTTTACATCAGAACATGTGCACAATGGTTTACTTACCTATATTTTATTGAAAATATTTTTTTCAATAATTTTTTTTATTAAATTTATATTTCATCGCTTATAAATGCTCGAGCATTTAGGAGCGCTTTGCAAAGCGCTCGAGCATCTGACATCTATACAATTAAATAGTAAAGTAACTTTAACAAATTGTTCTTTTTTTCAAATAATTGAGGTTATGCATCTGTCAAATTAACACCAATTTTGTATTTAATTTGTCACAAAAACACATAATATACATATTATGTTATTTTCAGAAAATAAGACAAAATTGACGTTAATTTGACAGATGCAAAACCTCAAATTAACGCCAATTTGTATACGTCCAAAATTTAATTTTGACAAGTCATTTTTTAAAATCAATTTTAAAGTTCAAAATATATTTTTGTGAGAAGATATAAATCATTTTACAGAATATAAACATTATATTTTATAAAATAGTTAAAATATTCCCACAAAAATGCATTTAGAAGTATAAAACTGATTTTTTTTAAATATTTTGTCAAAATTTTGACTTTTGGATGTACTATGCTCCACACTTCAAAGTAGAGGTGTGTTGCGATTTCGCAAACTGCTACTTTGTCACTGCTCCGGTGGCGTCGCAATCGCAAACTGCTCCGCGGCAGTAAAAATCGCAGCGACATTTCGGAGCAATTTAAAATTTAAATTGCTCCGAAATTTTAATTATACCAGGCCGTCGCTGTTGCTCTCTTCAGCAGCGACCGTGTGGGGAATTGTTCCACATGTATTTATCAATATGTGATTGAACTTATTGGTAGATAACTCGTACAAAAAACTTTTTAAACTTAGGTTTGCTTTTAAATGTTTATAGTTTTTAGCATAGAAAAAGGATTAGGTTTAAACCGTTGGTACGGTACCACGGAAAAGCAGTCAGACCTATTCGACTTTATGCTGTCCTAATACTTACGGGCATTTAAAATCTTATTTAAACGGGCGTTTAAAAAAACTATTTCAAATTTTTTCTTTCTATTTTTGCCTGCGGCCGAAAATCTATGTTAAATAAATTATTGTGATAAATAGCAATTTACGGTTTTATCGTTATTTAATGCTTTTTAATATCAGTGAAAAAAAGTTATTTTGATAAATAGCAATTCACGGTTTAATATTTTTTTTAATATCAGTGAAAAAACACAATTCGTAAAATATCGCTAAGTGAAAAATCACAGATGACGCTAATTAATAGATGTAAGTAGCAGTCGTTATTCGTGATTTTTAAATATCAGTGAAAAAATCACAGTTCGTGAAATATCGCTTATCTCTAGTTGCTTCGCCGTTCGCACTTTCGCCAGTGTTTTGCTTTTACCGTGGCACTGCTCAAACAAAACTGCTCTGGAGCATCGCAAATCGCATTGCTTCGAAAAATCGCTGCTTTTTGTCACAGTGTTCCGGCCGGAGCAGTCGCATTGCATCGCAGCTCTTGAAAAATCGCAAACCGGCCCACCTCTACTTCAAAGTCCCACCACGTGACCACGTACGGAACGCAGTCTTTTGATAATTTGTCATTTAAGGCTTTTCAGGTTATGTATCTGTCAAAGTATAGTCAATGCAAGAAATAATATTTATACTGTTACCATTTATGTTTAAGCGTTAAAAGTTTATAAATCTTTAAGGTATCACAGTAACAATGGTTGGTTTAAGAGTTTAGGAGTATAAATACTGCATTTAATGAAATTCTAACAGTTTTATTTTGACCTTGTTCGTGTACGCATCGTTAAAAAAATAAAACTAAATTTAGTCGTGAAACTT